CCCCCTCCCTCCTGGCTCACAGCTTCTTCTTCTTGGTTGGCAACCAATGTTAAGGCGCATTACTGCCCCCTGGCTCACAGCGCAGTGGCCATTTAGATGAGAAAATATATATTTGACACACTTAAGGAAAATACTAATAAAATACAAATAAACAAAATAAATGTTTATTAAGCAATTTTGATAAGAAATTGCTTAATTTTAGAAATGTTTTTGCTCTTTGTTCTCTATAAAATAGTTGTTTTTTTTGTTTGTTTTTTAATCATTCATCTTAGCAGTGGGATTTACATGAAAAGGGAAACAAATTAAGTTTGAGTGAAAATGTAAAATTTTTGCACTCTCTGGTCAACTGATCAAATGACTCAAAACACCCGATTCACTTTGGTGAGTGACTCATTAACACTCGATTCAGTAAAAAGAATCAAATTTACCATCACTAATTACTATACCTTTCTAATGTGACGTTGTTGTCCCTGGCTCTCTTTCTCTCTCTCCCCCTCTGGATCTGTTCCTGTGCTACTGAGTGTAATTACCGCCCCTCCCCCTCTGCCCAGCGTAAAGCACAAGGCTCGCTTGCTGAGTGAAGCAGAAAAAAAGTGTGAGAGAGAGGCTGAGAGAAAGAAAGAAAAAAAAAAACCAAGTGACGGCTTGCGATAAGGAGCCGGCTCGCGTCGTTCACGTCAAAGACCCGGCTCTATGAGCCATTTCGTTCGCGAACGACCCATCACTACAGCCCTGGACGTCGGGCTAGAGATTTTGCGAGCCCTGAGTTGTGTATTAGTTGGCAAAAAAAAAAAAATAAAACCCCAATAATCTGACAATTCCCTCTGAGCAAGCACTCAGCGACAGTGGGGGGGAAAAACTTTCTTTTAAAAGCAAGAAACCTCCGGCAGAACCAGGCTCAGTGAGGGAAGGCCATCTGCCTCGACCGGTTGTGGGATTTTTAAAGTGACTCATTGGATGTGAAATAAATTAGCTTGTTTGAATCATTTGTTGTTAGCCAATTTAAAGAGGCACTTTGATGTCAACTAATACACTTAAACTGTCCAAATAATTTAAAAGAAATATTTAGAGTCAATCCTGATGGATTGCTCTAAATATTCATTTTGTTTTCTTGGAAATATAATATCTTTAAATTCGTTCAAAAGTGTCTGGGAGATATTGTCAGTTTCTGGTAGCTGGTCTTCATCGTCCTATGTTTTTCCACACCATGCGAAAAACCTTGTAAGTAGGTTTCGCTTTTTTCGGAACAGGTGGTCTTTGAATATCGAAATCACCACTTGTTGGTACGGCGAAGCTACAGCCAGCGCAATGATAACAAGGTTAGGTGTAATACCCAGTACCTTTGTAATGTCTTTGAAAATTGCCTTTTCAAGACTTTTTATCCTCCTTTTTTTATATTTAGAGTTTCTTCTTTAACAGCTTCAACTTTTCCTTCCTAAAATGGCATGATGATGGCCGGAGTTGAACTGCAGACTCCGCCCACACACTCAGGGCCGTGTACCTTCATGTTCCAGCTTCTCCAGTCCCTGTCCTCTTCTGGCTCATTCACTCTTTAATGTGGCCATAAAGGTTTAAATAATGGCTGACAGTGGAGAAGGCGACGATGAATTCCAGTTTCTACGGACGGTGAGTCAGACAGCTTACAAATTAAACATACAGGCCAATATTTAGTCAAACAGAGGTCTTCATTGGCTATCACCGGAGGTTTAATAATTAGTAAGTAGCTGTACTAAAGGTAGCACTTAGGGTAGCCTATTTAGCTTTGTTTGAAACATTATTAGTGTTTTTTTTTATTAATTTATTTGTTTAATTAAAGTTATATGTAGGTTTCTGTCAGCAGCAATTATGCAATCATGTAACCATGACACTATTTTGTGCGCAGATGCCTCCATACGCACGTCATAGTAACAGCATTTCACCTGTTTTGGGCTAGCTGACTAATAGCCTTATTAAAAAACAGAAACCAACTCACATGATTTTAGTCTATTGCTGTAGTAACTGATTAGCTGATATAGTTTATTTAAGGTCAGGTGTCAACAGTGATGCATATCCCAATCAGTTAAAAGATTATCATATCCCATTTTAATTAAAATTGCTACATTTTATTCAAGAATAAATATAAATAATAAAATGTTAATGTGATAATAGTTTAGCAACAACAGTGACAGCAAAGGGAGGCCAAAAATGGCTTCTCTCATCTTCACTGCAAGATGCTATTATTGCTCTGCAGCTGTAAGTTGTCCTCTCACAGCTTGTAATCTTTGCCCTCTGATAAGGGCATGTCACGTGGAGGGCGTCTGGAGTGGCTGAGACACATACACATTCACACAAAGCCAGCGATGTTCATCATCCTGAGCCCAACACATAGACTGGAGAGAAGTCATTTTGCGAGATCCATCTACGATATCATACTTTATTATATTAAATGCAGGATTTCCCCCCGCAAAGTTGTTCAGCCGTGGTATTAAGCTACCCGGATCCTGATGGAGCTTTCCTCGTTATCATTTAGTTAGTAGATGACAGGGAAAACACACTGTAATAGACCCAGTGATTAAATATATGACATTTGTGAAATGGCAACAATGCTATATTTGTTATAAAAATGTAGTCATTTTTATATGCAAAGAGGTCCCAATTCCACTATTAAAAATAATACAAGAAACCTTAAGAAGACAAACAAAACTGCAGCATTTTCAATTCGAAAACACTCGAAGTGAAAGCCTGTTAGATCTGAAATTTAAGTGTCCCTTAAAAAAGACTCCAAGTCCTGCTCTAATGCTCTAATGTACCTCTGCATTGGACAGTGTGTTTGACTGATTGCAGAGTACTGCAGATATGAAGAGTGGAAAGAAGGGTAAATCAGGGGTCAGACTGTGCAGTATCTTCCCAATATGGATGTTTGCAGCCTGGGTACAGAGAGGTGCTGGTTTTATTGGCGACTGGCCTGTCGCCTGCTGTCGTTCCTAACAGTTCCTCAAATAAACAGAGAAACTTAATTTGGCCGACGTGGTATTTAAATGCAGATAAGGTAATGTTGACAGCGACTGAGATTTCCTTATGTGTTTACAATGGGACTGCACAATGGGGCAGTTTTGATGCTATATCTAAAAATTCACACATTTCATAGTTTAAAGTTGTTTTAACATTTAAAAAGCAAAATAGGACTGAATTTCTATGTTCGGTCATTGTGGCCAAACACGTTTCCTCCTCTGAGAGAATTGAATTACATGATATGAGAGGATGAAGATTTTTTTCTCTGAAGCCAAAACTGCTTCACTGACTTTCTTTTTAATTAATTCACAAGATAAAATTTCAGAGGCGTTTTGGTGTGATGGAGGTCTTTAGCTGATCCTATCCAACAAAAGTTTTCATGGTGAAATCTGGTGGATCTCAATATGTAAATGCGCTCTGTGGGCTTCTCTAACTTGAAATCTGTCATCTGTGTGTATGTGTTCTGCACAGGGAGATGAGGTGGTTTTGCAGAGTACCTTCACCTCCCAGGAGGAACATGTGAAGCTATGTCTTGCTGCTGAAGGATTTGGCAGCAGACTTTGCCGGCTTGAGCCCACCTCTAACTGTAAGGTAAGGAGCTCTACCTGTGTGACTGCACAGTCCTCCCTTACTGTCAGACAACTCAGTTTGCCAGTCATACAAAGAGAGAGATGACTGAAATTTCCAAATATTTCACTGCACATGGACAGTACATTGTGTTTATTTTTAAGTATCTAAAATTTTAGTTCCTTATTGGTTTTTGTAACTCGAGCATTTTTACATGCCTTCCTTCCCAGTTTGGACTGCCCATTGCCAATTTGCCATGGTCTTTGGCACTAATTGCACTGTTGGCCTGTGAAGGGAACAGCCAGGCATGAAATTACCTCAAAAACTCAAATGTCTTTTCTTTCTTTACCAGAATGTTCCACCAGACTTGTCTGTGTGTGGCTTTGTCCTGGCCCAGTGTCTTTCTGTGCGAGCCCTGCAGGAGATGTTAGCCCACAGTGAAAACCTGGCTGCAGAGGTCTTCTCTATTATTTCTCCCATAACCTTTATATAAAGTCAATGTTCTCACTCAGCGCTCCATATTGTTCCATAAACATATGATTTTCTGTCATTGTCATTTTGCAATACATATGTCTATTTTTGAGGTATAAATGGAAATATTATGATAAAGTTGGTGTATGTTTTTATATTTTTGTGATATTATTAACCACAGTGTGAGTGCGTAAGGATTTTGTCTGTGACATTATTTCAGGGAGATTTGTTTTGTATTTATTTATATGGATAGCACAGTCTTGAAACACTGATCTAAGAAACACGGTTAAGCTAGAACAGCTTTACATTAGAGTTATCGTTTACATTAGAGTTATCGTTTACATTAGAGTTATCGTTTACATTAGAGTTATCGTAAATTAAATAACTTGTAAACAAACTGTTTACACATTGGAAGGATGCTTTGTTTAACTGTTTTCTGCAGTTTAAATTGATGCTTGTGTATTTTAATCACATACAGGTGGGAGCTGGAGGTAGCCATCGCACCCTTCTATATGGGCAGGCGGTATTGTTTCTACACTCATACAGTGGCATGGTGAGTCTGTGTGTGTGTGTGTGTATGTATGTATGTGTATATATATGTGTATATGTATATGTATATGTATATGTGTGTATATATATATATGTGTGTATATATATATATATATAGGGGTGCAACGATATTCGTATCGATATTGAACCGTTCGATACAGTGCTTTCGGTTCGGTACGCATATGTATCGAACAATACAACATTTGTAATTTATTTTATCAATTTTCCTTCTGACGATGCTGTCTGTGTTGAGCGCTCAGTGAATCTGTGTTCGACTACTCCGCCTAGGCTGCACTGTCGAGCGCAGATCCACTGAGCGCTCAACACAGACAGCATAGTCAGAAGGAAGAGCGCAGGGCAAGCTAGGAGACAGAAGTTAAGCTCTGCTTGCAACAAGCAAATTGAACCTCATTCAGATCTGGCGTTTGGAATTATTTTGGTTTTCATGTGACGTATGACCCTGAAGGTAAGCGAGTCATGGACTAAAGTAAAACAGTATGTTGGATGTGCCACGCAATGCTTAATTACATTGGTGTGAACTAGTGTGTTAGCGCAGTTAGCTCGTTAACGTGTTGGCCGTCTAGCCCCATGCACGGGGCGATCGGCGGTAGCTCGTTAACGGAGATTTGCCGTGTTGTGCGTTAAGGTCATTTCAACGAGATTAACCTGAAAGCACTAGTGGGAACACAACGAATATGACTGCACATTTACGCCGACATCATCCTAGTGCAAAGACAAAAACAACAAGCATGCTACTAACTTTAGCCGAGTCATTTAGACAGCTGTTAGCACATGATTCTCCTTATGCTGCTGAGAATATAGCCCAGAAGAAGCGGATAGTATAGCTTTTATTTTGGAAAGAGACATTTCTCTGTAATAAACTCTCTTTTCCAAAGATGAGTGATTCCTCAATCAGATACAGGGCTTGCAATATCGCTAGCCCGACGTCCCGGAGCTAGCGATTTTTTCAGTCGGGCTACCAAAATCTATCTCTTCCCTGCCCGTCGGGCTATTGTACGAAAAATATATGTCAATGCTTTTGCATTCTTTCAGAAATGTAGCTGGGTAATTATGTCATTGGCATCGGTGAGCCACTGTCAATATGTGACATATTGAAATCGCGTTTGAATTTGCGCTTGTTTTTTTGCTTTCGTGCGAACTGTGTATAGAGAGCGACAGCACTGATCTGTGAGTGATGATAATTTGTGCACCAATTCCTCTGACATCGTCTTATTAATCGTTAGCTTACTATGCAAACATGACAAGTGAAATCTCCCGCAGCAAGCTTAAACATGTGAGAGGTTGATCGCGCAGAGAATCGCTGAGCTTATGTGAGTGCGTGTGTAAAAGCATTTCAGTTCTGCTGAGCCAAATAAGACAGGTCAGGGTGAAGAAGTGACAGCCAAAGAAAAGCTTACCACAAAACGGAGAAGTTATGACAAATCAGACTATAAGGCAAAAAGAAAGTGCAGCTTTATGGTTTCATGGACAAAAGAATTTCTGTGGCTGCAATATGAGAGCTAAATAACCAGGGCTGCACATAAGTGGTCCGCAGGTGCGCATTCGCTGTCAAAATAAAAAACACGCACAAGGGTTAGGGTTAAATTTAAAAACTGTACTTTTGAGTTAAAATATATATTTATAATTTTAATAAATGACAAATTAAAAATGCATGAACATTTTTTTGTATCGAAAAAATATCGAACCGTGACACCAAAGTATCGAACCGAACCGAACCGTGAATTTTGTGTATCGTTGCACCCCTAATATATATATATATATATATATATATATTGATATGTGTGTGTTATATTGTAGTTATATATTTGTGTGTGTGTATATATTATATATATATGTGTATATGTGTGTGTGTGTTATATGTGTGTATGTGTTATATATGTGTATGTATATATGTATATATATGTATATGTATATATGTATGTATATATATGTATGTGATGTATGTGTATGTATGTATGTATTGTATATGTGTATGTATATATATGTGTATGTGTATATGTATATGTATATGTGTGTATATATGTAATTTTTTTTTGTTCAAAAAACTGAATAAATTACACAATAATGCATCCAACACAAAATGCTATAAATAGCAAAAAGTATAAAACTTATTTTTTTGTTTTAATTTCAAGGTTCATTAAACCCTATAGTTTAAAAAAAAAAAATCATCTTCTGACAATTATTTCACGGTTCAAGCTTTACAGGGTTAATTCTTCATGGCATGGATAGGTGGCATGTTTACATGATAGCATTACACAGCTGCTGCACAGCCATAATGGGAATTTCCTGTTCCACCACATCCTAAGGTGTTCTTTTGGATTGCGTTCTTGTGGCGTTGGAGGCCTTTTGAGTACACTGGACTCATTCTCATGTTCAAGAAAGCAGTTTGAGATGATCTGAGCTTTGTGACATGGAGCATTATCCTGCTGGAAGCAGCTGTCAGAAGATGGGTACACTGTCGTCCTAATGGGATGGACATGGTCAGTAAGAACAGTCAGGCAGGCTGTGGTTTGTAAATGATGCTCAGATGTCACTAAGGGGCCCAAAATGTTCCAAGAAAGTACATGTCACACCATTACACCCCCACAGCAGCCTCAACTATTGATACAGGCGGGACTGATTCATCCTTTCATGTTCTTTATGCCAAATTCTTGTGCTACTATTTGAATGTTGCACTTATGAGACCAGGCAAAAATCTCCAATTTCCAGTCTTCTGTTGTCTGACTTTGGTGAGCCTGTGCAAACTGTGTCTTCAGTTTTCCTGTTTAAGCTGACAGAAGTAGCACTTGGATTTGTTCTTCTGCTGCTGTTCATCTGCTTCATTTGCTATTGTGCGTTCTGAAACGCTCTTCTGCATTCATTGGTCGTAAGGAGTGGTTATTTGAGGCGTTGTTGCCTTCCTGTCAGCTCGAAGCAGTCTGGCTTCTGATCTCCTCTGATCTTTGGCATTTTTGTCCAGAGAAATGTTGCTCACTCGTTTTCAGACCATTCTCCATAAACCCTAAAAAATAGCTGTTCAGGAAAATCTCCGAATATTAACAATTTCTGAAATACTGAGATTTCTGTATGGCATAATGAACCATGTCACTTTTAAAGTCGCTTGAGTCAGCTTTTCTCCCCATTCTGATGCTCAGTTTGAACTTCAGCAGGTCATCCTGACCATGTTCCTTTCCTAAATGCTTTGAGTTGATAAGTTGTGATTGATTAATTAGATCTTTTTATTTGTAAGCAGTTGAATAGGGGTACTTAGTGAAGCATATTTGTGGATCTGGATGGTTAAATAGAATTTGTGTATATAAATGGTATGTTTTTTGTTTTACTTTTAAGAAAATAAAGAAAATAAAATCTTCATGTTCCCACACTGATGTTATTTTTGTGAAGAATATTTTGGCATGTTCACTGAATTATTTACCTGTTGTTTATTTCACGTCCAGTACCTCAGCTGCTTGTCTTCCTCTCAGTCTTCAACTGACAAGCTGGCTTTTGATGTTGGCCTGCAAGAGGACAAAGCAGGTATTTATTTGAACGATCAGTTAAAATACTTTCTTTGTTAAGGTATTTGCGATGCTCCCACCCTATATTGTGTTTTACAATTAGAATATTTTTTAAATCGGCTGTCTGTGAACTGCTTGTTTCCCTTTGTGTTTATATTCTGTGTGTGGTTCAGGGGAGGCGTGTTGGTGGACTGTCCACCCAGCATCCAGACAGAGGTCAGAGGGTGAGAAGGTGCGTGTAGGTGATGACCTCATACTTGTGAATGTGTCTTCAGAGAGATACTTGGTGAGTCAGAACAAAACTGAAGTTTTCCTTAATGGCAAAAATATACTCTGAGTGAGCCTCCACTACGTTAAATATCGAGCACACTAACCTGGTTAAAAGTTCATTTTGTAGACAGTGAGGTAGCAGAAAAGGGTTGCACTTTTATATATTTTATGTTTAACAGCCATTTTATGGCTATGCACAGATATTTTTGGAATGACACCATGCTGTGATCTCATCCGCTGGGATCAGGTGTGGTCTATCGGTGGTGGGCCAGGGGACATTGTAAGTAGTGTATGGGAAAGCATAATTGTGACAAGAGCGGTGGCAAGGGAGCAGCGATCCATTACTAATGCTAAAAACAATCCTAGTTGGCCGGCTAGTCTCCATTGGTCGCTTGCCAAGAGCTCCAGCCATGACTGCATTTAGTGTTTGTTAACTACCTGCCCCTCAACAAGACTGACAAGAGGTTGGAATCATAATCAGAAGGTTAGGCTGGTTAGCATGTGAACCTCAGAGTTATTTCACACAGTACCTGGCAAAAGTTTTCTCATGTCTCGAATATGTTGTGTAGCTTAATGGCTTCAGATATAAAATAAAGACAAGTTGTATTTATTGTTGATGAGAATATATTTAATGCCATTTTGTTTTTTCCCAGCACCTTTCCTTCGGCACTGCATCTGACAACAAAAGCTTGAGTGACAGTCTGATTGTTAATGCAGCCTTCCAGCAGACCCTCTGGAGTGTTGCTCCCATCTGCTCTGGACGCGCCGTTGCTCAAGGCAAGTTTTGTTTCCTTTTGCTTTCTAAACATGTTGCAAAGTAGCTCCTTTCTCAATTTAGATAATCCACCTGATTCTTTTGCTCCCAACAAATACAGCTCTTTCAGTTTCTGCACTGCAGATAATATTAATATGTTGGTAATAAATAATACATCAAAGCTGTATTTTAATAAATTGAGGGGACCAAATGCTAGTTCATAAAGATGCTATGGGCTTTTGAACTATTATTAATTGTGTGCAAAATATAAAGTTAGTTCAGTGCTGATGCAGTTTAGATGGATTCCAGAGGTTTTCCACAAGTATTCAATTTAAAGCAGTTACACTGAAATAACATAAAATGAATATGTACTTTCAGCTTTAATTTTAACATTAACCATTTTCATACACAGGCTCAGAATTTCAGAGAGCAGATTCAACAAATTAAAACCATAATAAATCAAGTGTGTAGTTTTAATACTTTCTCAAGTCTGAAACCATGGGAATGACAGAAGAATTGGATTTTTGTGTTGTTGTTGTTTTCAGGTTTTTTGCTAATTAAAAAAAAAAGGAAAAAACAGTCTATATTTTACACACTTTTTGTTTGTTAGTTGGTCTTGGTGCCTTTTTTTGCCCATGCATAACACTGGCTTCACAGAATTTTAATGAGGATATTGTATGTTTCTTCTCCAGCTTTTACATTCCCTTTTCCCCTCGTCATACTTCAGGTTGATCACTTATCCAAATAATGGTGGTCAAGCATTGCTCTAAATGTTTTTGGGTGTTTGTGGCAAATCTTTTTTTCCCTTTCTGATCTCGAGACTTGTTTTGCACCTTGTGGTGAACCCTCTGTTTTTGCCCTTTTGAAGTCTTCTCTTTTGTGGCAAGTCTTGGGTTATAAGACTCCTCTTTCCTGGAGAGAATTCTTCACATGTCTGGAGGGGAATTTATCTATAGCATGGAAATGACTCTATCACCACTGATGTCTTCCCTGGATGTAGGGTCACTTATGTGGTGTGTGCGTGTATCTCTGTGTGTGTGTTTTTGCTTGTACTAATGTTCCTGCTGTCTCCCTAATGGTTATATATTGTTTTGCAGCCCAAGGCCTGTCTTACTCACCACTTCACCTCTTTGACCACATGTTAGTGTGAAGGGGTTTAAATAACATGTGATGTCTGTGTTTCTTTATAAAATTCTGTTTAAGATCAGTCAAAAAGAAGCTGCAAATATTCAAACTTAAGGTTAGCAGTCGCTAGAGCTTTTACTACAGTTATATAGATTACCTTTTGTGCTACTTCTGTGAAATGTTGCATGTTTTACTAACCACTTCAAAGCAATAAATGTTTTTTTTTCTTGCTGACTCTAGGATACCTGAAGGGGGGTGAAACACTTTGGCTACTCCACAGCCATAGTGACGCATGTCTGACTGTTCCCTCTACAGAGCATGGAGAGGAGCTTCAAAGGTTAGTCGAAAAGACCAGTCTCCTCCCAAGTCAGCTCGCAGAAACGTCCTTTACTCCTCTGACTATGTCTGTTTTCTTAATCTAGGATAATGCATTATGAGCTTGGATCAATCTCCGGTCATGCCCGGTCTCTCTGGAGGCTGGAGATTCTGCGAGTTGTGTAAGTGTACAGGGAATGTGGCGTCCGCTCACTTTGAGTATCAATAAATATGTTGCTTTTAAGCGCTATTCTATTCGAGCTCTGTAGTTCTAATGTTGTTACTAGAAAATACCAGTTTAAAGACAGGTAATGTTGTACGTATTGCACCAGGTCACCACCAGCCACAGATTTTCTGTTTTTGCCTGAAAGAGTGTGCACAATTGCTAGAGTCATACTTGATGTCATTGGCCCAGAACTTAGTTTCCCATGTCCCCTGCATGCTAATAGGGATTTTGACAGTTATGAGGAATAACTAAATGTTGTGGAGTGCTTGGTTTCCTCTCTTGATGTTTTCCAGTTGGAGTGGTAGGCATACATGCTGGGGCCAGCCATTTAGACTGTGCCACGTTACTACTGGAAGATACCTGGGTCTCACAGAGGAGAAAGGTCTGCAGCTGGTTGATCGGGACAAAGCTGACATCAATACAACCTCCTTCTGCTTTCGATCATCAAAGGTGAGGGGGGATATGAGAAATACACTGGACATTTCAGTGGTGTTCTGAGTCTTTAGAGATATAGACTGTAATGTCATTTGTTTGAGTTTTTTTGTGTTTATTAAAAGAGAAAAGTTAGAAAAATAAGAATATTTAATGCCTTTTTTTGTGTTTAGGAGAAGCTTGACACCAACACAAAGACTGATGTTGATGGGATGGGAATCCCAGAGATCAAATATGGAGATTCCATTTGTTTTCTTCAACATGTAGCCTCTGGGCTCTGGCTAACATACCAAGCTGCTGATGCCAAGTCCCATATGGGTGGAGCTCAGCGAAAGGTGAACTTGTATACTCAGTATTACTATAATAAGACAATAACTGGCAGTTAACCAACAGTGTTGGACTAAAGAATCTGGCAAAAGAATCTGTTGGATATAATTGCAAATGATGTGTTTTCAGGCAATTTTGCACAGTGAAGGGCATATGGACGACGGGCTGACACTGTGTCGTTCTCAGAGGGAAGAATCTCATACTGCCAGACTAATACGGAGTGCTGTTCTCCTCTTCACTCGTTTTGTACGGTACAGGATGCTGGATTAAGACCTTCAGTCATTTGTGAATAACTTAGCGACAGTTTTTTACAGCTGCAGTGCTGGCTTAATGCTAAATGTCACACTACATGTCCGAGCGTGGGTTTACAGCATTCGCTTTGAAGATATGTTTATGATATATACATACAATCAGAAGACCAGTGATGTTATCGTCTTGGCATTGTGGCTCTGATAGGACCTCCCCGCCCTCGTGTATGCGCACATGAAAAGCTGGAGGTGGGAAGAGCAGCAGCAAGACCCTCCAGAACTAAACAAAGCAGTCAACTCAGATACAGCGTCAAGGAAGGAGCTGGGCAGATTCAAGAAGCTTAAATAGCATGCCCTCTATGACACAACAAGTTAGCTGTGTAGATGGGTATCAGCTGATGTGGGCTGACACTGAGATCAGATGATCTGCAATGATTGCAGCTGAGCTTGACTTTGTGGGCTGCTGGAACTAATGCAAACGCTCTGTTTTTTACCTTATCTGATAATTTTGAATTGCCATGTCATAATTACAAGAAATCTGGAGGATGAGAATACTTGGGGCTCAGATACTGTCTGTCTGTCTCACATTTGGCTTTTTAAATTTTGAGTCTTTTATTTGTAAAAAATAAAATAAATTCATAGGCTAGTATAACGCCTTCTGTCTTTACGCCATCGACCGAGAATAAAACAAGTTTGGCTGGTGATAGTAGCAGCAATTATAATACAAGACAATTTGGCAGACTTGTAGGTAGAGTCTAAAAACAAACTTTTTTTTTTTTTCTTTAGGAAACTTGATGGTTTTAACCAAGAGGTAAATATCCCCTCTGTCAGCCTGCCAGTGGAGACAGTGACACGCAGTCTGCAGGATCTGATCATCTATTTCCAGCCTCCACTGGAGGGGCTAGGCCATGAAGCTAAACAGAACAGCATGGTGGCGCTAAAGAATCGACAGAACATGTTTCAAAAAGAGGTAAATCGATAAGTGTGAATGAGTCCTACATGTGCTATGCCTCACGCTTCCCTAACTGTGCCTCCCTTTCTTCTCAGGGTGTGATAGATTTGGTCTTATATTGTATTGACCGTCTACACCAGTATAGTAGTGCTTCTCATTTTGCTGAGGCTGTTCAGAGTGACACAGGAGAGGAGTGGGAGACCATTGTCAACCATTTCTATGAGCTGTTGGGTGAGAGTAGTATAGATGGCACCATACTTATTTTTTGAAGATACCACAAATATCTCCTAATCTTTTAAGGTTCTTCTTATTATCTTATCGTCTGTTAATATTTTTGTTAATATTTTTGGGGTTTTTTGTTTTTTTCCTCTTAAGCTGCTCTGCTCCGGGGAAACTGTGCAAATTGTGCTAATTTCTCGGGTTCGCTGGACTGGCTGATTAGCAGGCTAGAACGGCAGGAGGCCTCTTCTGGTTGGTTGGATTTGCTTTGTTTTCTTCATCAGCCATTGTGGATTGAAATTTTACAGTATATATTTATATTATATTTGACATTGGTTATCGTGTGTTGTCTGGGATTTATACCTAATAATATAGAAGCATAGAGGTAAATGCAGGTTATCATCCACACAATAACGGGCAGTTATATTTACAGGAGTCCTGGAAGTTCTTCACTGCGTCCTTGTGGAAAGCCCTGAAGCTCTCAATGCCATCAAGGAACAACACATTCAGTCTGTCATCTCATTTCTGGACAAGCTTGGATGCAACCACAGGGTAGTGTTTAGAAGGCTTTTGTGTGTATTCAATATAAAAATAAGATTGAAGTAAAGTGCATGGATAATAAGTGATGCCGAATGGCCAGTAATTTCATTATTAAGCTTTTTGGCTACAGTGGCATGTCTGCATTAATTAAAAATAAATACAAAAAGTCCTTTGTTATTATCCTAGTTTTCTCTCAGAATTTGTCCTTATGAGGCTTAAGCAAATTCCACTTTTCTCACTAGTCTAGTAACATAGACATAGTGTTTCACTTTTAACAGCTATAATAACAGTTTCCAATCTGTTTCCTGATGTCGGATCATTTCCATTTGCTTATTGAGCTATTGCCACATGAAGAGCTGACAGGTTGTGTTCCAGGTGCTGGAGGTGCTTTGTTCTCTGTGTGTGTGCCATGGTGTGGCGGTGCGGTCCAATCAGAACCTCATCTGTGACAGTCTGCTGCCAGACAGAGATTTGCTACTCCAAACACGTCTCGTTAATCAGGTCACCAGGTAATTTTATAATCTGGTTTCCAAACAGGACCGCCTTTTGTTTTTGTGTTTTTGCCATTCCACTCATCCTTTTTACTTTGAAGTTTTCTGAATTTCTCTACATTCAGACAGAACTCTGATTTTGGATTATTGTTTTTTACTACACATAAAAATCAGATGCAAAGTAGCACAAAGAACAATATATTAAGTAGGTAGCTTTTATGGTTCTGTGCAAAAGTCTCAAGCCACCCCTCATTTCTTTATATTTTGCAATATACAGCAATTTCTCCCCAGGGTTTCCGGAGGTCTTTCAAAGTATATCTTTGGAAATTGGCTGCTTTTTCATTCATTTTCAGTCCAGTTGTTTAACCTAACCCTGCAAAAGCACCTGGATAGAAAAACCCACTGTGAAACACTTTCAATCATAGATTGGGCTCCCCAGAACCCAGACCTTATCATTATTGAAGCAGTGAGGGATCACCTCAACAGAGAACAGAACAAAAAGCATCCAGCATCCAAAGAAGGGCTTTGAATGTCCTTTAAGAAGCCTGGAGAGCTGTTCCTAAAGACTATGTAAAGAAATTATAAGAAAGTTGCATTAAAAAGTTCAGGCTACACTGAAGAATGCTGACATTCAAGCTCGTTAGAAGTATACAAACGTTTTGCCTTGCATACTTTATATCCATGTATGTTTGCAGATGTTTTAATATATCAGTGCACTTATTTTTCCATTATTTTAAAGTGAAATAAATATGAAATAATGGGAGGGTGGCCTAGAACCTTTGCACAATGCTGTATTTATGTTTGGCAAATAACTCAATAGGGGTTTCTTTCCCTGACTCTACTCATGCTCGCACATGCATTTGTTTAGCTGAGTGTTATTTTGTCAACTGTGGCGCTCCCACGGGCCTTGATATTCTTGTTTTTCATCTGTAAAGATGTGACATCCTTGATACTAGAAATATTTCAGATTTTTCTATAGCGTGACATTCGTTTTTGTTTTTTTTTCTCTTTTGGATTTAATTAAATACTTTCTTTTTTCCTCCAGTGTCATCTCTTCAATTGCTACATCAATTTTTTTTATTTTACATCTGAATAGATCGGAAACAATAATGTTGATGTCAGAGCTTAGATGTCTTTGTCTCACCCTCGTCTCGTGAGAGTTTGGAAAGATTACCTTAAGCCCGAGGTGGTATGACTCAACGGAGGCATTTTTTAGCCAGTTTCATCATAGTCCATGCTCTTCTTCTGTCTCTCAATATTTTGACCTGCTGTGCCAATCTGATCTTGTAGGCAGTTTCCATTTCCCTTTTCCTTTGAGCAAGTTTTTTTTCTGCCCAATCTGCCCTTTCTCTGTAAGCAGCTGCCTTCTTTTATCATGCTTTTTTTTCCCATCAGCAGCCCATTTCATTCCTCAGGCTTTATAGCTTATTTTGTTTCATATTCTTCACACCTGCTCAGTCCATGCCCCAGCTCTCCTTTCCTCCTAAAGCAATTTCTCATTCTATCACTTCTTGTTCCAATAAATGCTTCATTAGTACATCTGCTTTCATTCTGATTTCCTTTATCTCATCAATTTTCTTTCATATTCTCTCCCTCACCTACCACAGTGTGACAGTTCTTCCAGATGCTCTCTTCTTTTTACATTTTTGCCTTTAATCTATTCTTTCCATGCATTTTATCTAGCCTCAATCCAGCCTTTTATGAGTAAAACTAAAAACCTGTATACTAGCTGGTATTTCAAATGCTGATTAAGTTTTTATTTACACAATAAAAGTGGCTTACTGACTTCAGTGCGCTGCTTTTTTAATGGCTGGGTGCTTGGGAGTCCCATTCATAATTAAATTTCATTTGCTGGATTTACTGATTTGACATGAATCTAAATTTAAGTCCAAAGTTTAATCAGCTGAACTTAGGTTTTGTTTTCCCTGCACTCCTAATTTAAAAAAAAAACTTGGGACACTGTGTAAATTGTTAATGAAAACATAATGCAGTGATTTGAAATCTCAGATCAATAGAGCATGTTTTCTAGGTTCTATTTACAGTAAAACACAGAAAACATTTCAGGTGTTTAAACTGGAAAAGTTTACCAGTTTTAGAAAAGTTCATTTTGAATTTGTTGGCAACACATCAACATATCAAAAAAGGATATGTTTACTACTAAGTACCGCCTTCTCTTCTTTTAACAATAGTCAATAAACATCTGAGGGGGGCCTGAGGAGACCAGATGCTGGATATTTTGGATGAGGAATGTTGTCCCATGCTTGTTTCATGTACAATTCCAGCTGGTCAGCTGTCCTGGATAGACTTATTTTTGTTTCAACGAGGACCAAATCTCTCCAGTGATGGTGCCGTGTTGCTGCAGCATATGTAGTATGTGGCTTAGCGTTGTCTTGCTGAAATATCCACGTCACAATTATGCCTGTTATGGTGCAATGCAGCTGAAGAGCACAGCCATCCAATGTTGAGTTTTCGCTTTGTTCTTTGTGCTTAGAGAGTCTTTTGATAATGTTATGTACTGTAGATGATGGGATATTCTAAATCTTCACAATTTTATTTTGAAGAACATTATTCTGAAATTGCTCCAGAATTTTTTAGATACAATTTTTTGCAGATTGGTGAACATCTGCTCATCTTTACTACTGAGAAACTGATGCTCTTTTTATGCCCACTCGTTTTACTTACCTGTTTCCAACGAACTTAATTAGTTGCAAAATATTTCTTCAGCTGTTTCTTTTTAGTCTTGTTTACTTTTCCAGCCTTTTGTTGTTCCGTACCAACCTTTCTGACATGTTTTGCTGCCATCAAATTCAAAATGAGCTAATTTTTTTTCATGAAATAGTAAAATGTCTCAGTTTAAACATTTGTTTCCCATGCTCTATAGTGAATAAAATCTGGGTTTATGACACATGCATATCATTGCATCCTATTTTTACTTACATTTCACACAGTGTTTTATGTCATAAACAATTTCTGGCTGAGAGCACACAGCAACGTTATGCTGAAGTCTGTGGACACAAACTTAACGTTCACAAAGTTGGACTCTCGCCAAGTTAACTTGTAATTACAGACTATCAGCAGCACTTAAAAGTAAAAGTCCACTACCTGAATGTTTCAAACACTGAGCTTTGCTAATTAAGAGTGTCACAGCTTAAAAATGATTTGTATGGGTGCACCATGTATCTAATTAAGTTGTCATATCAACGCAGAATGAATTTCACTTTTATTTGCGAGCAGACTACTCATATGTATTGTAAATTATTTCAAAATTTATTTATGATCACACCAAATACACTAAAATCTTAAAAGATGAGTTGACTGAAATTTCTCTGTCTTTTTTTGCCTTTTTTGCCAAATTTCTCTGCATATTACAACAACAGCATGAGGCCAAACATCTTCCTAGCTATGGGAGAAGATTCATCCCAGTATCGCAGGTGGTACTACGAGCTGGTTGTGGATCACGTCAAACCCTTTCTCACATCTGAGCCCACACACCTGCGTGTCGGCTGGGCTTGCATGAAAGGCTACCAGCCCAGGCCGACAGGCGGCGAGGGCTGGGGGGGGAATGGAGTGGGAGATGACCTCTGCTCGTATGGCTTTGATGGACTTCACCTCTGGTCAGGTGAGGATAAGCTCAAACGGCTGATAAACAGCTTGGTCTGTTTAACATTATTGTATAACACTGATCACAAGAGTTTACAGGACGAGTAAACTCCACATACTCCAAAGACAAATATCAGAGTCTGTAGCTGTTACAAACATGATAACAAGTCAGTTTGAAAAACTTAGCACATTACTTTAGTGCCACAAAAGCTACACATGGGAGGATTACCATGGCAATTAAAGCACAAAATGCATTATAATAGATCATTTTAAATTTCCTTGTTCAGAATAATTGAAATGTCTGTAGTTAGTGCAATAAAAGCTGTGACTGCAATTGCTGAGCATCACTTAATTATCCACAGAGAACAATTAACATATTACTTTTTTCTTTTATGTTTAACGTGGACAGAAAAGAGAGAGAGCAGTGGAGGCAATTACAATCTCAGTTTTCAGTAGTGATGTTTGCACTTCATCAAAAAAATAAAAACAAAAAACAAACCTTTTGTATTTTGATAAAGATTTGCTTGTGCAACACAGACATCTCGTGTAAAACATGAAACGTGTCAACATTTTCTGGCTCGTTGCACTTTATTCTTATTTAGTGTGGACAGCAGTAGATTATCATTGATGTTTCTAATTATCAGGAATGGCTTTGCTGTGAGGCGTGTTCCTAAAGTGCCTTAATCTTTACAATATGTTTTACATTTATGAATGCTATAAAACATTCATTTGATTTGACTTTAGTTGTAGTGTTTCCATTTAATAAAGCACAAAGCACTTGAATTCCCATTTTAAGTTGTACAGAAACATTAAAAATGTAAATATGAAGACTAATGAGTGTGTCTCCTGAATCTTAGGCTGCGTGAGCCGGAAAGTCAGCTCCCCGTTCCCTCACCTACTAAAAGATGATGATGTCGTTAGCTGCTGCCTTGACCTCAGCATTCCCTGCATCTCATTCCGAGTCAATGGTCTACCTGTGCAGGGCATGTTTGAGAACTTCAATGCTAATGGACTTCTTTATCCTGTGGTCAGCTTCTCTGCTGGAGTCAAGTTAGTATCAACACTATTATTGGTTTTTTTTTTTTTGGGGGGGGGGTTAATGTTTTTGTTTTTTTTCAAGAAATCCACAAAACAATAAATTTTCTCTTCCTCTTTTCTTGGAAAACAAAACAAGAGTTCGTTTTCTGTTTGGGGGAAGGCATGGAGAGTTTCGCTTCCTGCCACCTCCAGGTTATGCTTCCTGCTCTGAAGCTCTTCTCCCAAAAGTCAGACTGAAGGTACAGCTGTGTCAGGAATACATTTTGGATCATGGTGAAGGGAAACAAGAGCTTATTGGCCCCTTAGTGCCTGTCACTCCAGTTACCTTCACTCCGACAACAATAGATATCAGCAAGGTAAATCTTGTTTTACAAAGATGAACTGTTTGTATACTTAAAGTCTTTATAACTAATTTGTAGAGAATCATTTGCTCAGAGAAATGACACCATCTCAGAGTAGTTTAGCTACTTATGCAGTACTTTTACCCTACAGGTGGTATTGCCTCCACAACTTGAGGATATTCGAGAAAAAATGGCTGAGAATATCCACGAGCTCTGGGTAATGGACAAGATTGATCTCGGATGGACACATGGACCAGTAAGAAAAGACACAAAATGTATAATTTTATAAAATTGCATAACTGATATGCAGTATTGTATAAAAGTCTTCAGCCACTCCTCATTTCTTCATATATTTAAAGAGGAAAAGGAAAAATAAATGCACTGATTTATTGAAACATACAGATATCCATGGAGTGAAGTATGTAAGGCAAACAGAGTAAGTTTTAATAAGCTTGAAAATCAGTATTTGGTGTGACGACCTTTATTCTTCAACACAGCCTAAATTCTGTTTGGCAAGCTCTCTTGTAATTACTTTAAGTAGTCTTTAGGAAAAGTTATCCAGGCTTCTTGAAGGACATTCAAAGCTCTACTTTGGATGTTGGCTGCCTTTTGTTCCTTTCTCGGCTATGATTATTGATGCCGGATGCCCAGGCTCCTGGGAGGCCAGTCCATGACTGCACTGGGAGTGTGTTTGGCATCACTGTCATGCTGAAAGATGGTATTGTATGGTGGATCAAAACCTGATGGCACTCATCTGCGTTCATAATTCCATCAGTTTTCACAAGATCCCTAACACCACTAGCTGAAATGCAGAAATGTAACAGTTTCACACTTACTGTTGTACCTTCTCCATATATACACTGATGATTATTTGAACCAAATAGCAAACGAAACAAACGAAACACAAGGAGCCAGAAACCAAAACACAGGGAACAAAAGTCCAAAACAAAACAACAGCACTGACCGCGAAGCCAGCGACCGTGACGGAGCAAGTCCGGAGGCCGGCCGCGCGGAAGGCAGCACACCCTGGAAGGCAGCATAGAACGACACCGTTAAGGGTGGAGGGCATCCACGATGCTGGGTCCATGTTCTGATCGCGATCTTCTGTTATGACAGGGCTGTGTGCATGCAGGAGTGGTGGCATCCTAACAAAATTTGGATTCATTAATCCATAAAACCTGCTGTCAGTGATTTTCTGTCCATTTCTTGTGCAATTTGGCATTCCTCGGGCTTTCCCCCACATTTTCCTTCCTTAACAATAGCTTCTTGACAGCTGCTGAGAGCATTTCTGATGAGGCTTCAGCAAACAGCAGATGGATCACCTGAAGGACATGACATCCTCTGTAGATTTTTTTTTTTTTAAGCTTGCCAATCTTTCTTGACCCTTCACTTGTCCAGTTTCCTCAATTTATGGGCACATTGCACATCATGCCTAGATATGCCAAATTTTCAACTAATAGCTCTTTAGGAATCATCTTGTTGGTGCAGAAAATACTATTTTATACCTGTCAGCCTGTGTTATCTTTGGCATTTGTCAGCTAAAGAAATCTGAGCAAATGATGTGTTTTTGTGACCGGCTGCTAGTGACAAAGTATCTAAAATTTCAATTTAAAATTGCTCAGCTTTCTGTTATGTGTTGCCACAACACTGGTTTATCTTTTGAGTTGGGTGCTTTCTTATGGTTGAATAAATCATCTGTCAGTTTGAAGTGTCTTAAACAAGCAAGCAAAAAAAGAACATTTCTGTTAGGATGGTCAGGTACAAAGACTGTAATGCTGTTAGCTAATTTGTTTCCAAAGAAAGACTCCTTTGTAGCAAAACGTAAGGAAATGAGTCTCAATGACACTCTAATGAATCATCATTACGATTACTTTTTAAGAAATCCACATGGTTTTTGCTTGCCTTGCAAAATAACGTCTCTCTCAAACAGGTGAGGGATGAAGGTAAGAGACATGATCCTTGTCTGGTGGAGTTCTCCAAGTTGCCAGAGCATGAGAGAAACCAGAACCTTCAGATGGCACAGGACACACTCAGGTGAGCTCTGTTCTGTTTCATACAATAATAATAATAATAATGATGCAGCACGGTGGTTAGCACTGTTGCCGCACAGCAAGAAGGTCCTGAGTTCAATTCCACCGTCAGGCCAGGGTCTTTCTGTGTGGAGTTTGCATGTTCTCCCTGTGTTTGTGTGGGTTCCCTCTGGGTACTCTGGCTTCGTCCCACCATCCAAATACGTCCAGTTTGTGGGGATAGGTTAATCGATTAATCCAAATTGCCACTAGGTGTGAATGTGGGAGTGAATGTGAGCGCGAATGGTTGTCTGTCTCTATGTGTTAGCCCTGTGACAGACTGGCGACCGGTCCAGGGTCTACCCCGCCTTTCGCCCTATGACAGCTGGGATAGGCTCCAGCACCCCCCGCGACCCTGAAAAGGATAAGCGGAAGCGAATGGATGGATGATCATAATAATAATAATAAAAACCCAGTGTGCTTGATTATTATTTTCATTTAATTTTTATTTATTTATTGGAACGATTTTTATAAAAAAAAAAGATTGTGACAGACCTTGTGCTTTTCAAATCTAATATTTAGTAATTAGTAAGTAGTGTCTGCTGCAGTAGTGAATTTTCAAAGTTTTATTCTTCATTGGAGGACCCTGCTGGCACTTGGTTTCCACATCGGATTGATGGATGATCATGCTGAGAAACACATGAAATACATGAGACTTCCTGTCAAGTAAGTGAAAATCCACTAAAAAAACAAAAATCCACTATGCAAGATTTATGCATATATCCTTTTTCTTATCTGCTTATCCAGTTTAGGGTCATGGGGTTGCTGGAGCCTATCCAAGCATAATGTAATATCATGTTTGATTTAATTTAGTCTTGTTCAGCTGTGAGTTGCATCATGTCTAAATTAAAGTAGCAGAAAAAGATAAGGACCATCTTATGGTGGTAATGGTAACTCATTTTATGAGGCTACAATAAAGAGAGGATACACAACTGCAGTTCATATTCATTTGATCTCGTATGCTTTCACTAGGAGAACATCTCACTTCAATTTCAACACTCTTCTTTGAGCCATCCTTGCAAACAAATTCTTTTAAAAACTTACAGCTTATGTCAAAGAATAGTTTAACTGCGATAAAACAGTACAACAGCACAATGAACATCATAAACCACCGCCTACTGAACACACTCTTTTCAAACGCTAACTCAAGATGTTTGAAGTGTGTATTTTTCCTTTGCAGCCTTTAGTCATATGTTGGCTCCTTTGAATTCTCTGAGAATTTTTCTTCCCCCACTTTTTAAATGCAATTTTGTTTATTTATTTATTATTTATATTTCTTTAACGTTTATTGATGTTCTGCTTTATTTGTTTCGTGCGGTTCAAGCAGGGTGTAGGCCAGGAGGGAAAAAGTGAGCATTTTGTTTACTCAAGGCAGTTGAAAGTATTTTATACAGGAATGATACAAAAATAATGTTTAACATTCAGGAACTGTAACTGTGATCCTGTCACATCTCTGTCTTTTTTGCTTTGTTTTCTGTCTTAGGTATGAGCAGATGACTGGCTACAGGCCTGCTCCAGTAGACCTGAGCCAGGTGTCTCTGAGCTCAGACCACGAGGAAGCAGTTAACTTGCTGGCAGAGAATGAACACAACGTATGGGCCAGAGAGCGAATCAAACAGGGATGGACTTATGGAGCGCAACAGGTTTATGTTTTGTGCTGGATTACTTCAGTTTGTTTCATCTTACACAAAAGTACTTTTTCCAGAGTGTTAAAATAGTTATAATATACTTTATATAGATATTCACATAGTAGCAAAAGGTTATACCATGAGATAATTGTATAGCGTCAAACATAGTTGCCCTTCTTACTCCTTGCGTCTGTACTTTTAGGATATAAAAGCAAAGCAGAGCCCTTACCTTCTGCCCTACAGCCTTCTTGATGAAAGAACTCGGAGAGTGGGAAGAGAGAGTGTCAGAGAGGCTGTCTGTACCCTGCTGGCATACGGCTACAGCCTGGAGCCCCTAAATCAGGAACACAGTATGTTTCAAAGATCTGTTATAAAACTGTAGCTTAGTGCACATCATATGTAAGGTAATCAGTGTAAGTTCAACTTCAATATATTAACAAAGTAGTAAACAAAGGTTTATTTGTATATTAATCATACTGCAGTATTTGTTGTCACCATTGTTTTCCCAGAGGGATTTTGTTCTACAACGCTTTTCCCAAAAACAAAACTTGGGGCATTGTAGAAAATGTAAATAAACCTAGATTGCTAGGATTTGCAAATAATCTTTAGCACATATTTATGTAGAAAATAATCTAATGAATGTTAAACATGACAAATATATTTTTATTACATGTTTATTTATTTAGACATATGTGTAGATGTAGAGTTTTGATTAGTGGGGATTTTCTGCTGTCTCTTACATTGTATCCAGCATTCCAACTTTTTTGGAAATACGTTTATGGCAAATAACAATATGTTTCCTGTTTCTTGGCTTTACAGCTACATTATCAAAGCCATGTTTCTTCTCTGCTGAGAAATGCAGAGTGTTCAGACCAGATAAATCATATGCTGTGACCCAGGGGAAGTGGTATTTTGAATATGAAATACTGACAGCAGGGAATATGAGAGTGGGCTGGGCCCGACCAGGCTGTACCCCAGATAAAGAGCTTGGCTCAGATGACCAAGCATATGTTTTTGATGGATTTGAGGTGAGATATAATTAAATTTGACATTTCTTACTTTGGCTACTGACCATAACAGTAGCTGAATGGGAATCGGCCCAAATTATAATGGCTTTGTTAATGCATATTTATTTATTTTCATCTTTTTTGAATTTACTTAACTAATGAACTTTAATTAACTGTTTTTTCTTGCTATATAACTATAACTGAGACTAGGTGACGTTTTAGAGAGCAGACAGAAGGAGATATGTAGGCACAGACAAGTATCTATTGAAAGAAACTGAAACATTAGTTACTTTTTTTGGACCTTCTAATGTCTGCATATTGTGTCACGTTAGTTGCATATCCTTGCAGTGACTCCTGACCTCATATTGTTGGTTGACCAACACAGAAGGTCTCAGTTACTCCAAAGCTGTGTTGATATGATTAATTAAGATCAAACAGTTCCAATTTTTAGTGATTTGTTTTCCATACGTATCATATTTTGGTACTAACATGTGGTATATGGAGTATTAGAAAATTGTAGAGTTTTTAGATAACTCTTCAAATAGATAGCAGTAACCTCATGCAAAATATACTTTATGACATGTCTTGTATTGGCTCTTCTGGGTTGTTTTTTTTTTTTGCCTTTGGCTTTTTGCACTTGTCTCTTTCCTTCTAACTCAATGTTGCTTTCAGGCTCAGTGGTACCATCAGGGTGGCGAGCCCCTGGGACGTCCATGGCTGAGAGGTGATGTGGTGGGTTGCTTGGTGGACATGGATGAATGCACCATGATGGTTACGCTCAATGGAGAGCTGCTGTTTAATGACAGAGGATCGGAGCTGACTGCCAAGGACTTTGATATTAGAGATGGTCTGTAAAAGTTTTTGGCTTTATACTTTCTGCTGCATTTTGATGTTTCTAATATAGCTTTACTATACCTTTATTTAAAAGTCTAATATCGGAAAACTATATTGCCACTTCCTGTGTCTTCCAGGCCTATTACCTGTGGTTAGTGTTGGGGTGAACCAGGTGGGGAGGCTGAATCTGGGACGCCAAGTAGGCTCTTTGCAATACTTTACTGTGTGTGGCCTGCAGGAGGGGTATAGACCTTTTGCCATCAACATGGCCAGAGACCCAGCTCTGTGGATGAGTTGGAAACAGCCGCAATTTACCTCCATACTACCTGATGATCACTATTTACAGGTAAACTTACCATATATACAAGGTTTCCTTCACCCATCTACAGACCTTGATGACCTAGAGCTGCTAATAACGGTGATCAGTTAACACAGATCCTGAAAACCTTGTTCAAATCTTTTTCAAGGTTACAAGAGTCAGTGGCTCAGCAGATTCCTTATCCAGCCTGAGGGTCTCCCAGTGTATGCAACCGCACCATGGTGGAGAAAGTGAGATGGGCTATTATCGCCTCAGCATGTCTGTCAGATGTGCTGCTGTCCTCAGAAGCCCACCAGGGGGCGTGCTTCCTGTGGCCTCCAGTGCTCTCTCTCCAAGTTCAGGTTTATTGATGTTATATACAGTATGTTCAAGTTTGAAATCTTTTTTTGAGAAAATGTTACATCGGACTACATTAAAGCTCTGTTTAGTTTGACATAATTTCAACAAGCAAATATCTCTAGACCTGATGCAAGATCTGTTGTTATTATTATTAGGCTACTGGGAGAAACAATTAGTGTGGGTGACTTGCATAGCTGAAGCTATCCAGATTATCCACTGTCTATGCTATTGATATTCTGCCATTATGACCTTGATGAGCCTGCTTAAGCTCCCAGGGGCCCTGCTGTAATTAATGCCTGTTGTCCTTTTAGAAAGGAAAGAGCAGGAGGAGGTGGACTCTGACTTTGAGGTGCTGATGAAGTCAGCCCACAGCTATGCTGGTTCAAGAGATGAGCTCAACCATAAAGATCATAGTCACGACAAAACATCAAGACTGAAACAGCGGTAGGTGGTAGAGAAAGGAAAATGAAGAAAGTATGGAATGAGGGTCCATCTCCTTTAAAATTGAATGCAAAATAACACAATAACTGTGCTTTGCTGAAATTAATGTGCGTTTCTTTGTCTGTAAGGTTTATGCTGAAGAAGACCAAACCAGGCTTAGTCAGCAGTAACTCATCTGCACGGCTCCTCGAAGACGTTGTAGTCGACAAGGATAACTATGATCACCTTATCCAGAGCTCCAGAGTAAGGCTTTATCTTCTCGTCATCATGTGAAAATACACAATACAAAACTAATTGTAATGCAGTGTGCTTCACTTCTTTGCCAGCACGTATAATTACCTGCCGCAATAAAACTGTTGAATGCAAGATGCAAATACCAAACAGTGACACCAACTAACCTTTCTGTTTCAGTATTACTACTCAGTGCGGGTTCTTCCAGGCCAGGAGCCATTCAATGTGTGGGTAGGCTGGGTGACCTCTGACTTTCATCAGCATGACATGACATTTAACACTGACAATGTCCACACTGTGACTGTCACCCTTGGAGATGACAGTGGCAAAGTCCAGGAAAGGTTGGTGAACAACAAAACAGTTTTATTTAGTATTTTAGGTGACTGTATCAAGAATTTTGAATTTTGACTGAATAGAGTTGTTTTTTTTTTTTTTATAATTATCCTTCATCTGCTGTAATTACTATATTTACTGCAGAGGTGTTATATTGCAGTGTGCTGTAAATTTCCATTAAACAGACAATACCCCTCTGTCTACATAGCGTAAAGAGGTCTAACTGCTATATGGTTTGTGCTGGAGAGGCAACAGGCCTGTCTCAGAGTCGGAGAAGCACAGGATTGGAAATTGGCTGTTTGATTGACACAACCACTGGTCTGCTTACATTTACCTCCAGTGGAGTGGAGATGGCCACTTTCTACCAAGTAGGTCACACAACAAACTGTGTTTTTTTTGTTTTGTTTGTTTTTTTAATGTATTTTTTACTTTAATAAATGTAAGTTTTATGCATTATGTCTCATACTGTTCGATATAATGATATATATCGGATGACGATATCAAAACGTCTATCATTTCATATTACTCTATAGTTTGTTTTGTGATTTCGCAAAATAACCTGTTTACGGCAATATTTTTCCATCATTTTGATGGTCACTGTAATTTCTTAAAGTTCTCTCTTTCTCTTATGATTAAAATAAGCACACTACGGACGGACAAGCGACTGTTTTTATGCGTTGTCGTTAGCAACAACGACGGTAAAACCATCGCGTGGCTCCGCCGTCTGCTTGTTTATTTTCCACATAAACCTTTCACAATAAAGCTCAAGATCCTGTTGAGATTTTTCAAAATAAACTGAATCACGTGAAAGAGTATGCAGAATGTTTACGGATGAGAAGCAAAAAAGAGCCGTCAGGTGCTAAAAAATAAACCTTAGACTCAAACGTTAGAACAGGCTTTTCCCTGCAGCACGCCGTGTAAATACTCACAAAGAAAATGTCTAAAAATGTAGTTTCATGCATTGGTCAAAACACTTGACTCCAGGTACACGACTAGCTAGAAAAAAAGACTTCACGCATATCGAGTTGCCCGAGATTTACAGAAAATGTAACATTTTTGTGATATATATATCGTTGTCGGGACATGAGATTTTGGTCATATCGCACAGCCCTACTATGTATGTAACACTTGGGACTGAACTTGCCCATATGGAAAAGAAATAGTAAAAACATATATGATTTACTCATGAAAGTGGCCACTTTCTCATTACTTTCATATATTTTTTTTAGTAAGCATCCAAAACATACAAGTTTCATTATATAATCTTTCAAGGGATCTTATATGTGTTTTCACTCTTGTATGCTTTTCATACAAGTTTCACACAAGACAGATACAAACTTTATAAGATTTATATATATCTTTTCCATATGGGTGGGGCTGCCAATGTTATAATGTCAGTAACAGGCAAGTTGTTGGACTGCATTATTAAACTGAGCATAAACTGTTTCCCTGCAAATCAGGTGGAGGCAAGTACAAAGCTCTTTCCTGCTGTTTTTGTCAAACCCACCACCAAAAACATGTTTCAGTTTGAACTGGGACGCATCAAGGTAATTCATTTTTCATTATTAAACCTGGCTAAGATACTTTTTATTTTTTTAAGCAGGTTTTGCTTATTTTGTGGACAAATTTGAAGAGTAATAAATTACAACGCAAGATGTTAGCCTGAACTTTAGTTTGTTTTTCATACCATCCTAAAAGTATCATGTATGACATAATTTCCTGTATTTGTCTTCTTCTCGAATCCAGAATGTGATGCCACTGTCCTCAGGTTTGCTTCGGAGCCAGTCAAGGAATGTCACTCCTCAGTGTCCTCCTAGGGTTCAGGTCCAGTGGCTGAGGCCTGCTTCATGGACTAGAGTACCAGACAGAGCACTGAAAGTGTTGGTTGATCGACCAGATGAATGTCACGGCTGGAGAATTCAATGCCGTGAGCCCTTACAAGCCATGATCCTTCACATTCCTGATGAAAACAGGTTAAGAAGACAGGATTTGATCTTTTACAGATTTAAGAACAAAGAAATATTTTCAGGAAAATAAAGAAATTTTGTTCCAAATGTTGTTGGTGCAAAAGCTTTAATTAGATTTAGGGTTAATAACAGTGAAGTTGCATTTGCTTTTTGATGCTATTCATGTAGGTGTGTTGACATTTTGGAACTGTCGGAGCTTGATGACCTCTTGACCTTTCACAACAATACCCTCCTGCTCTACTGCTCTTTATGTGCTCTTGGCAACACCAGAGTTTGCCATGCCCTCTGCAGTCATGTGGACCAGTCGCAGATTCTTTATGCTATTCAGGATCCCTACCTCCCTGGCCTGCTCCGGTCTGCATTTTATCAGCTGCTTTTTCAGGTGACTGCTTGTTGGAGGTTAGATAACATTAACTGACAAAAGAATAAGTACGTCCTGGTCTTTGGAGAATATCTGAATACATTTTATTGTTTTTGTCCTCAAGGTTTTCCTCAGCAGCTACACCACAGCCTGTCTTATGATGAACCATGAATACATAGTTCCTATGACTGACCAAACCAGAGAAATCACCCTTTATCCCAGTCCTATTAATGGTGGGGATAGACAACCTCCAGAGGGAATACCAAGTGCTAGCTGTAGCACATCCCTTAAACCTCAGATGCATTTTTCAACTCCTTACTTTATCAGAAGCGATTGCATAGAAGGAGCTAGTGCACTGGAAATAGCCTGCAAAGACAGCCCAGAAATCCCTCTGGACGTTTTAAAGAATCTTACCGTGGAGATGCTGACTGCTGCAGTTTGGGCTGTGGGTCAGGATGTAAGGGATCCTGCAGGAGGCAATTTCGAACTTTTGCTTGTTCCTTTATTAAGACTTTTCTACAGCCTCTTGGTTATGGGGGTGTGTAGGGATGAAGACTTAGGGAAGATTCTTAAACTCATGGAGCAAGGTGCATTTGCAAGGCCTGGAACACCCATAGGGAAGTTGGAAGAAGAAACTAGTGATGATGAAGAAGAGCAGAAAGGAGTGATCACTGAAGAAAGTTACACTGTTAAACAAGGACTTCTTCAAATGAAGCTTCCAGAAGCTGTCAAACTTGAGGTGAACCAATCTGCAAAAAAAATGTTTTTTTTGATAATGCTCTTTCTTCTCTGTGGGTCACTGGGGATTAGCTTCATGTGCTGTGTTGTTTGAATCCTTCAAGTATGTTTAAAATTAGCCATGAAGGACTGCTTTATTTCTTTTTCTAGCTCTGCCACTTGCTATCCTACCTGTGTGACTGCCAGGTTCGCCACAGGGTAGAAGCTGTGATTGCTTTCTCCGACAGCTTTGTTGGCCAGCTGCAGGAGAACCAGCGGTTTCGCTACAACCAGGTCATGCAGGCGCTCAACATGTCTGCTGCCCTCACTGCTCGCAAGACAAAGGAGTTCCGGTTACCGCCACAGGAGCAGGTTGCACGATATGAATACTAACTAAAAGGATAAAAGTTATAGCATTTGTTTTGCATTGGTTTATGTAATGTAGCTGTAACTCTGAAGAAAGCATGTAACACACACTTGCTGATTGTCTATACATATTGTAATCTCTCACCTGACTACAGATCAATATGCTGCTGACCTTCAGAGAAGATGCGCAGCAGGAGAACTCTCCGTGTCCAGTGGAAATCCAGGAGCTTCTTCAAGACTTCCATTACCTTCTTGAGACACACTGTGGTTGGAACACAGCTTATCTTTGACTGATTGAATTTTTATTGAGCTAGGGAATTATAAAAAAGCTCCAAGAAAGCACTGATTAAATCCCATTTTATGCTGTTGTCGTTCCACAGGCATTGATTTGGCCAGCACCTCAGAGGATGAAGAGGATGCAGAGATGTCTCTAAAAGAACGATTTCTCTGTCTTGTGGCGAGAGTCTTTGGCAGTAATAAGTCATCAATGGATATAGACGGGTGTTCTTCACATAGCCCCAGTGAATACAAGTTGTTTTTTCTTACTTTGCACATTTTGCTCTCCTGTTGCATTTTATCACCTTTATAAGTCATTTTATTTAACTGCACCTGTGATCACGCAGCATGTTTTTGGTTACTAACAAACCATGCAAACATAATGTTGGTGAAGGAGATGTTATATTAGGCCATGTCTAGTTTTGATGTCATTACGCATAGAATTAATGTGTTGCATATAACTTAAGTGATAAGTAAGTTATTGCTCAGTTGCTTCCTGGAGAAAGTAATTTGACACATAACTTAAATTACACCTGTTTTACCCTGTAATGTGGCGTGTTTGTGGCATTGTCACATAATTACCACTTAACTATATAAACCTCAAGTGTTTATGATGTTTAAGTATGAATATATAGCTGATAGCAAAGTTGAAAACCAGCTTCGTAAGACCTCTTCATAATCATCATCACAGCAATCTGGAAATATCTATCGTGTTTTCTACCACAATGTTGTCAGTTCTAGTTGAATTAAATAGAAAGGGTAGCTTGCCATCAAGAAAGGCACTTTCTAGGTCTATAGCACACCCAGGTTAAACACAATAGAGAAAAAAAAAACTAACCTGAAGAAAGTCACGAAAAAATATTATAAGCTGTTGATTGAGTCATTGATTGATGTTGGACTACGTTAAGTCTCAAAGCAAAGTTTACGTCAAATAGGGTTTGTCTCTACAAAAATGTCAAACATCAAAGTAAAGGAAGGTTCATAAGTTTGACCATTTGTAATTTAACATAAGCTGCATCAGAAAGGCCATCAACCATTACCACAACCACAAAATCTTAGAGATTAAACTGCTTCATTCATAATGCTGCCCAGTAACAGAATAGCCATTGGTAGCAGGAGGTAAACAGGCTCAAAGGAATTAAGCCAGGGAGACAGGAAGAGACCCTATGATGTGGAAACTTGAACCCTGGGAGCAGTCTGGTTTTAGCAGATTTTAAATTGGTTACAAACATTCCCAGGTAGAAATAAAGCCTACAGTTCTACAACGCTGACCGTTCATTGCTGCTTTTGTTTAGATCAAGCTCTGGATGTTTGGCTGAGGTTGGTTTACACTCTGCCTAAACATGAGTCTGGGTTCTGCTCTAGCTTTGTGTTATCTTTGCAGATGCTTGCAAAGAATTGTGTTATCAGCAGGTGTTTATAACCGAGATACAGTTTGCGCTTTACCCATGGGTTTTTGTCCTTTAGTGCACAACAAATGAAAGAAGTGTTCATTTTTCCACTTCTAATAAGTTGTAGACTGCGCCACTGCTTTTCTCTCCTGCACGTGAACTGAAGTCCCCTGATTGCAGTGCAAGTGTGTCTGTCCACTATGTATATAACTGATGAATCTTTAGAACTCAAGTAAAAACATGACAAAACATGACAAAGTAAAAATATCACAGTACCCCAACACTGGCAATGCAATATTTACTTTAAGTGACATAATAACAAAATTGTTATTACCTAATAAATGAAATTTCCAATGTGTTGCTATATCACACACATCAATTAATCAATTTGTCATTTAAACACAGATAATAGGATTTCGAGCCTGTCCTTTTATCTCTGCTTCTCACCTGGTGTTACTCTTTCAGAGTCCCTCAAAAAGATGATCTCTGAAACAATGGTGCGCTGGGCTCAAGAAATTGAGATTGAGGACCCTGAACTAGTCAGTGCTATCTTCTCATTGCTGCACCGCCAGTATCAGGGCCTCAGGGGCCTAATGGAAGGACCCTTATTCAAAGCTTATACCATCAAGCAGTCGTCACTGGAGGACACCATGGCACTCTTGTCCTCCTTGGGCCAAATCCGCTCCCTCCTCAGTGTTCGCATGGGGAAAGAGGAAGAGAGGTTGATGATCAGACGACTAGGGTAAGAATGATTAGTTGCTCTTGTATAATTTATTAGTGTCCAAGTTTCCATTACCATGTGGTGCCCCAAGTTTTCTTACATTTTTGGTAACATCTACAGAGATATCATGAATAATAAAGTTTTCTACCAACATCCAAACCTAATGAGGGCATTGTCGATGCATGAGACTGTGATGGAGGTGATGGTCAATGTTCTTGGAGAAGGGCAAATAAAGGTGAGAAAATGGCTCAAATGTATAGAAATAATGAAATCAAAGTTTAGATATTTATTTTTAGTTTAAAGGTTGGAGTTCAAATTAATTTCTCTTGTGGCTAATTTGCATGATTCAGTCTAATCACTCAGCGTCTGCCCCTTTACAGTTTGTTTTCTCTGTGTGCTTGTTTTAATTTACTATTGCTAGGAGATTACCTTTCCTAAGATGGTTGCCAGCTGCTGTCGATTCCTGTGCTATTTTTGCCGTATCAGCCGACACAATCAGGGAGCCTTGTTTGACCACCTCAGCTACTTATTGGAAAACAGCAGTGTCGGGCTAGGTAAATGTCAGTTTTCTCTGCTATATAATCTCACTGTTCTTTTGTAAAGACCAAACTTGAAACATTTTTGATTGTAGTTTACTGAAAATATATAGAAGTAAACTACACCGATATACATTATTGTGTTTTGCCCTTATACTAATAGCCTGGCATTATGGAGAGTTTGAGCCCATGTTTCAGTTGTTTTATGTTTTTTTGTTTTTGCAAAGCTTCACCGTCCATGCGTGGATCCACTCCTCTGGATGTGGCTGCAGCTTCAGTTATGGATAATAATGAATTGGCCTTAGCACTGAGGGAATCAGACCTGGAGAAGGTAACTCTGTATTGACCAGAAATCTTACAGTCCATTAGTCATTCTGTAGACAGTATACTGGCTTCCTTCATGACAATAATAATGTATAATTAATAAATATGATTCAAGGTGCAGGGGAAATGCAGCAGTATATATAGACAGTGGAGCTTAAATATAATATGTATATATTTATAATATTAAAGTTTAGTTTCTAAGAAAGCTATAATGTTAAGAAAGAGATTCAGCTTGCTGATAAATCTTATCTTTTTTCCAGGTGGTTCAGTGCCTTGCTGGCTGTGGTCTCCAGAGCTGTCCAATGCTAGTGGCAAAAGGTTATTGCGATATAGGGTGGAATCCTGTGGAGGGCGAGCGTTATCTGGATTTTCTACGTTTTGCTGTCTTCTGCAATGGTAAATTAAAGATTTAAGTTTTCATTTTTAGTATATTTGTTCATACGGTATTTTTTTTAAATATGAAAAAATGGACTAAAATGTCACCCTGATATTTGCAACAAAGTTACACGTGAGTCGTTACATACATTTGGCTGGCTCGATTATGGTATTTGATCTGTCACATGAAAATTTTTAGCTTGCCAATTTAATAAAAAGAAGTGCAAGCTTAATTAATACTAATAGAGTATACTGTATAATATACATTTAATTCTTAATATATACATTTCATTTGCAGAGCATGCAGGTCATTTATTGCTTCTGAAACTTAAAACACTGTTGATAGGAGCAAAATGCAAATTTAAAAAGGAACAAGAGGCTGCATCATGTCACGCTCCTAATTAAGCTGCAGTATTTGCACTAGAGGTAATTCACTCTGCTATTGATTTTCCTTAGCCTGAAGCGGTGCCCAAAAGTCATCTGTTCAAATTGCCCTTGAGGCTGTTGACAGTTCAGCCAAATGGCAATGGCTTTCTGTACCAAGTGCTCCTCAGTATTTACAGCTTCACCTCGTCTCTGTGCAGCACTTGAGTTGTGCAGTATATTGTTTTATATCACTCTACAGAAGATATATAACATTTTTATCCTCTAGCTGTTTAAATTGATCAGTTTTCTTTGTGAGAGTCTTTGTTAATATATTTATTGTTATGGCAGATATTGAAGAATAAAAATCAAAGCTGTGTGTTGATTGGTCACAGGTGAGAGTGTCGAGGAGAATGCTTATGTGGTGTTGAGGCTGTTGATTCGTCGACCTGAGTGTTTTGGCCCTGCGCTGCGAGGTGATGGGGGAAATGGTCTCTTAGCAGCCATGGAAGAAGCCATCAAGATCTCTGAAGACCCTTCTATGGATGGTCCTTGTACCAATTATCATTCCAACAGAGCGCTGTCAGTATCAGATATATGCAGTCACATAATCTAAAAAAAATATTTAAACTGGATTTAGAAATATTGTAAATCCAGAATCAGTGGAAGTAACTGTAACAAGCAACAAAAGAATCTGTACACATTAGCTTCTATCTGTAGAGGCCACCAGTAATATATGTTGATAATCCGTGATAGATAATATCAGGTCATTGCAGGCTTTTCATTGTTATGATTGTGTCCTGTAATAGAGATGTTGTCCAAGACAGCGATGATGATGTCATTCACATGGGGCACGCCATCATGACCTTCTACTCAGCTCTTATTGACTTGCTCGGTCGCTGTGCTCCGGAGATGCATGTAAGTGTTCCCTTAGCTATCATCAGCTCTTCCACATCAATATCTACTCATGTCTCAACCAATAAAGCCTAATGAAGAGAGTCTGCAAACTTCTGTTAAAAGAATAAACCTCAGACAAAAGTGTGCATTTTAGATGCTGCATTGCATTGTGCCTAATATTTATTATGTAACCCACACTTGGTTACAGGTTTTTTAATGTTTTAAAGATATTCTCAGACCTAGTTTGGACTTACTCTAATAGAGATTGTTGTCCCTTGTTGGCCAACATTCAGTATACTGCAATAAGCCATTAAAGACAGATTTACTGGTCAGGTCCTATTATTCATATTGATGATAGAGTACCCAGCCTTGATTTGGAAAACCCTCAACAGGGTGAATAAATGAAATGGTGAACATTGGATCAGATCCTCGAGCCATCAGGTTTTGAGCGTGTCTACCTGACTGAAAGTGTCTGAAAACATAGCGCTAAAGTGCACAGGTGAATTAAAAGAAGGGGACTTTTTGTGCATCAAAGGCACATTGATGTTCTTTAGATAAAGTACATTAAGATATTTAAATGCAATAATGTCAGTGTAACTGTATTTTTATATATTGACAGTGAATAACACCAGTAATTATTTTTTTATATTAAATACATGTTAATTTTGACTGAAAGGTGAATTTAAAAATAAAATCCAAAGTAACTCACAGGACGAGTCAGTATGAGGTTAAAAAACAGGTTATCATATGTTATGACACTGAAATTTTGTAACACTTGTGACCAGTTATTTTATTAATTTGTATTGTGAAAGTTGTTGTTATTATGTCTTGAATGACTATTTTATTTTTGTCCAGTTAATTCAAGGAGGCAAAGGAGAGGCAATCCGTATCAGGGCCATTCTGAGGTCTCTCATCCCTATTCAGGATCTTCAGGGAGTCATCAGCATCTCCTTTCAAATCCCTTCAGTCTCTAAAGGTTGAATAGGCCACATTGGCCAGACTTTGGCAGCTGTGGCTTTTTTCTAACTCATTAGACATTGATGCCTCACTCCACAATCGCTGTGGAAAAATAGTGGAGGTGGATGGAGGCAACTGAGGCTAAGCGCCTTATCAGATATTAGACAGTCCCAAACCATTCTTTCACACAGAGAGATGGGACCACATAGTTTTCACAGTAGATGTAAAGTACATAATATGTTAATATGACCTTGGTCATCAGATCTAATCTTGTCTTGCTTTTCCAGATGGTGCATTGGTTGAGCCTGACCTATCTACAGTGTTCTGCCCAGACCACAAAGCAGCCATGGTGCTGTTCCTGGATCGGGTTTATGGTGTTGAGAGTCAGAGTTTACTTCTCCACCTTCTAGAAGTTGGCTTTCTGCCTGACCTTCAGGCAGCTGTCTCTCTTGACACTGTAAGCTGAGAAATATTCATTTTTGTTTTCCATTAAATGCTATAACATCCACCACTCCTTATGTAATCTGGGGAAACTTCACACCCATAAGTTAAACCTCTTTTTTTCCCTTTGCAGGCTGACCTAGGATCCACTGATATGGCTCTGGCCGTCAATAGATACTTGTGTACTGCTGTGCTTCCCCTTCTCACCAAATATTCAGTTCTTTTCCATGATTTAGAGGACCACATCTTGCTGGTTGATTCTCTCATTCAGGCAGTCTACCGCCTCTCGAGGGCTCTTAGCTTGACCAAGGCTCAGAGAGACACTACAGAAGACTGTCTGTTGGCTTTGTGCAGGTAGGGTGTCCAGCTGGTATGAATGAAAAACAGAGGACAAGGTCAAAGAATGTGACAGTCTATATAATATGGCATTAAATGGGTGGGGTTCTCTGAATGAGAGCTATATATTTAGGGGAAGTGTTGTTCCTCCCTTGAGTATCATAATCCAATATTGCATTTTTCAGTTTTTGGGTCATTGAGGTTTATTTGCAACAGCATCCAAACTAGATTCACCTACATATCCGAAATAAATGGTTTGACAGCTGGATTCGCTATGTTTGGCTCTTAATTTCGGAATTATTACAACATTTCCTTCCTATATCCGCTGACATCAGTGTCAGGCTGCTGTTTGAAAAAATAGCAACAGCAAAATATTAACCAATCCAGATACAGCTTATTCCCACTCATTATATATAATGAATCACTGGGAATTCTCATTTTCCAAATACAGATAATTGGCATATTAAATGAACAAGAGTGTGATGTTAATTATTGGATTTATTAACATTTTGCTAATGGCATTTTCTGAGTTATGTCATCCTTCTGAGATGTACTAATCAGTCAAAAATATCGTTGTGCGTGAGTGTGTGGATGTGTGTGTGTAGGGGAAGGGTTGTTGTGTTGGCTGATGTGGAATTAATCTGTTTATGTGACTAATTCTGCAACCCTTGGTCCTCAGTAAACTCCAGCCACCTATGATGCAGCCTCTCCTTCGTCGGCTTGTCTTTGATGTCCTTCATCTGACAGACCACAGCAAAATGCCTCTAAAGGTGGATAATTAAATTTGGGCTTGCCACACACTGAATATGAAAATAATTTTGTTAACTAATCACGACTTTCATCTATCAGCTCTTGACCAGTCACTATGAGCAAAGGTGGAAGTACTACTCCCAGTCTGGCAGGCAGGGTGAGCAGGGTTGTGCATCTGAAGAAGAACTCTACCTGTCTACAAAGTTGTTCTGGGGGGTGTTCAAGGCTTTAGCCAAGAAGGTAAACTAAACTGATTATGTGTGTTAGTTTTGACTTGAGCTTATAATTACTTTAAATTTGTACTTAAGCACAAAAATAATTGCATTAAATGGGGAAAAAAAGGTTTTCTTCAAACTAATTCATCTCATGATGTATCCTTCATCTTTTCTTGTCCTCCTTACGAAGAAAAATGGCAAAATACATTTCTCATGCGCTTCTTTAGTGTACTACGAGAGCCTGCATCGGGGAAGATGTAACACACTTGAGATAAGGTGTTAATTTTTCATTTCCTGGTATGAAACCTCCCACTCTTAAAGTGACTGTTTGGAAATGTGAACAGCATAATGTACGTAAAATATGTCTGCCAGATACTTACCTGAACGATGCAGAACGGGAAAACATCAAAAGAAATAAGTTGATGAGGTCAAACCACCCACACATGGAGCAGACATCAAACAGACTCAGAAGCAGAGCACAGTATTAGCACTGCACAGAACTATGAAGATGTTTTTCGCTGAAATTACTACACAACAAAAGGCTTGTATATGTACAAATGTACATGCTTGGGTGTACAATATATCTCTTGCCCTGCTTATTGCACTTCTTGGTTGGGATTTTGATTGCTCGCGTTATGTGACACTGACAAATCTTTGCATATGAAAATGCTTTTTCAGGAGGAGTATGCAGTCATATGTTTACTTCCCAAGTAACTAAATCCATAACTTATTAAATTTTAATTGAATGAACTGTGTTAAATACAGGCTCTGAAATATATAGGTGGGTTTTTGGTTAACACGATTATTGCAGTTCATATAAAATGAGTTCTTCGCTGTCCTCCCATAACCTGATCTCATGATGTAGTGTTCCCCTAAATGGCAATGAAAATAATAAGGAAGACGCTAGTATAAGGTGACATGCTGCGTGAGGAGCATGTCACACAGCATCATTGTTTTTACTCTTTTTGATAGCTTGTCTTCTTGTCTAATTTGTTTTGTTTTTTATCTACTTTAAAGCCCCAGATACTTCAGTTATCGAGTCTGTGTGTGCAGTGCCTCTCTGCAGTGGCCATGGCCCTGCCTCCTGATCATATGGAACAAAACTGCTTGTCGCACATTGAGAAAATAACCTCCATCGATACAGACGGACACTTTGACCCCCAGCCTGTAGATACTACCAAGTAAGATACCCCAAGGATATTTTTGGATGATTGAAAAAAGAATCGTGTGAAAATGACCTGCCTAATCAGAAGTGTAACCTGTAATTTAGCAGACCAAGTGTTGTATTCTATGAATATAAACATTATGATTCGCAGAGATTAATGTGCAGTTTTAATCAAGGCTTAATAATGTATTATTTCTGTCTCTGCATTAGTGTGTCAGTGCCAGAGAGGCTGGAGTTTGTTGTGAACAAGTATGCCGAGCATACTCATGAAAAGTGGTCACTGGAAAAGGTATCATATCCTGGTCTGGACTGACTGTCATTATAAGAATACCTTTGTACATATTTTTCTCTGCGGCCTTGTCAAAACATCTCTCTGTACTGAGTCCCTGATTTATTCTTTGTTTTTTGTTTAGTAAATCTGTGTGTTTTCTCTTCCAGTTTGTCAGTGGCTGGGTTCATGGAGAGCACCTATGTGAGAACACCAAAGTTCACCCTCGCCTCAAGCCGTACAGGGCTCTTGCTGAAAAGGTACAGATGAAGTAGTCAGTTTTTATGGCATGTGTGGATGTTCTTCAAGTGTTCTTCAGTAATGAAAGTGGTGATATCCTAGATGTACAGAGACAATTGCATACATACCAAATGTCAAGTAGTGATGGGTGATTTGCTTCACAGTCCAAACATAGTGTTACCCCCCCTTACCTGATGTAGAGGAGACTACAATTTATTCCTCACTTCCAGCATGAAGACATGTTTGAACAACTGATTTAGCCAGCTGTAATTATTGAACATAAGTGGCAGGATATCAGCTGAACACCTTTAGAATTATTAAGGCATAACATTTACTGTCTCTTTAATTTTTTTAACTTAACATACCTCACCTCGTGCTCCTATGCTCTTCACCTCCGCCCCTCGGTGCACAGTGGAGTTTTTCACTGGCAATGTGCCTGATGGAACAAATAGTTAAGGAGATGAGATGAATGACTGTCTTTGCAAATGCAGTCATGTGATGTTCTAATGTAAAGAAAACAGTTCAACAGTCAAAAATATCCTCTGATCAAATATGGTAGCTCGGCTGCACTCCTGCGTGGAGCAGCACACAGAAGTCCAGCCATGTGTGCGAACGCCCATGCATGCCCAGACATGTTTGTGCTGCACATGTCACTCATATGTGGAGGTGCAAAATTAAGTCTTTAAATAATCAAATTTATTAAAAATCTCATATTAATGAAAATATTATTTTAATACATCAGTGTGGACAATAAATAAAACGGATAAGCCGTCGCCATTAAATTGAAACCATCCTCAATCCATGACATCATCGTCTGCTGGCACAACCTAGTACATACTGTAAAATGCTAAAATTGTGCAACACACAGTGAGTCATAATCTTATGAGAAATTTCATTTACATATACAGTACTGTATATAAATCACATTAAAAGTGTTAATATTTTTGCAGAACAGTGTGATCTTCAAGTCTACTAAACATTTACTTTTCAAGCATATTTGATCTGATTTTTAACCTTGACAGCTACGTGCAGTACCATTTGGACATCTTTTAGGACCACTGCTCAATAGAAAATTGAGTGGAAATGCAGAATAGATCCACATTGTTTACTTTACAGGACACATTTCTAAAGGCAGACAAGATTTAGCCCAGAAAATAACATCCATGTGATGCCTGGTACTTGAAGGCTGGCTATATGCACTCATTGACAGGCTGTTACAAGTTCTTGAGCTATTTAAATAGTCTGCTGTCCCTTGATACCTGCTTATTTTAGTTTTGCATTAAACCTTTTCTATATTTCTGATTTTCCAGGAGAAGGAGGCGTACCGCTGGGCCATCAAAGAGACAATAAAGACTATGCTTGCCTTTGGCTGGAACATAGAAAGGACCAAAGAAGGAGATGCGTTTAGCATGCATCCATGTACACGCAGGGTCTCTCAGTCTGGACAGGTATATGTGCTCATGTTCTGCTTGTTCTTGTTAAAGCAGCGTTGCTTACAAATAACTTTTTATTCCATTAATAAGACGTTTTTTTTGTCCTAGCTGTCATTTGAAGGCGCATCAACCTTCAGCCCCAAACCTGTGGACATGAGCTGCATCACCTTATCATGGGACCAATGTGTAAGTTAAAGATTAGATATTAGAACTGGCAGTTGACATATTATTCAGTTATGTTAATTTTCTTCTTTCTTATCTCATCTTCAGGCCATGGCTGAACAGCTGGCTGAAAACTACCACAATGCCTGTGCTAAGATGAAGAAATTAGAACTTGAGAGTAAAGGTGGCATTAAGTGTTGATAATATCTAGTTAATCTCCTCTCTTTTCTCTTACTCTTATCTCATCCCCCTTCATTTTAGGAAGAGCTGAACAGCTAATAAAAGTGCTATGCATTTCACTCATATCTATTCTCAGGAGGAGGTAGCCATTCGCTGCTTGTACCTTATGATACCTTGAGTGCCAAAGAGAAGGCTAAATTCAGAGAAAGAGCTCAGGATGTCCTCAAGTTCCTTCAGCTCAATGGCTACACTGTGTGGAGGTGAGTACAGAATACGCTTATGATTACACTAGGGCAATGCAATTCAGTGTGAATGAGGTGCTCCATTTTCATGTCACAGTGGCATTTCTCCCTCACCGTTGATTAGAGGCACTGTAGCAGTCAGTCCACAGCCCTTTTTCTTTGTAATAATTTCCAGTACAGGTCACAACCAGAAATAACTCGATGTGTAAGATAAATGTATTACCTCTTTGTCATCCTGCTGCAACATTTGCATCTTTGCAATAAAAATCTTGAAATAAAAGAATTCTGTATTATTAAGTATTTATGATTAAAGTTCAGTCTTGCTTTTAGTAGTGGTGTTTCATAACTCATATCTGATTTCTTGTTCTAAAGAGATCGGAAGTCAGTGGAAATGGACTTTCCAGCCATAGCCAACTGCTTTGCATACACGCTGCTTCAGCGGCTCCTGTCTCACACTGAGGAGGCCCAAGAGAACCTTTTAAAGCTTGGTAAGATAATGTTGTATATTAAAAAGAAGATCAAAAAAAAAACATAAAAGATTTTTGCAATATACCGACATGTTAAAGAGAAGTTTTCACAGCACTATATGCTGTCCTGTGAAAAATAACTACACCTCATAACTTAATAGCTTGTCAAACCACTTTTGGCAACAATAACGGGAAGCCATCGTTTCTGGTATGACTTTATCAGTCTCTCGTGTCATTGTGGAGCAGTTTTGGTCCACTCTTTTTATGCCCTCACATACAGAGTTGCCTCCAGGATTTTTTCATAGGGGTGGCACACCAAAAACAGGATTTCTGGTTTAATTATGCTGTTTTCAAATATAGGTTACTTGAAAAATCTGGCAAAAAATTGAGAAAGAAAAGAATTATATGCCTAGTTAATTTCCTGCTATTTAAGTTGAAAAAAGGTACTTATGAAAACCAAGCCACCACAGAATAGTTCAGCCTAGTTTGGGTATGTGAACCTATCTTTCTTACATGAAGGTGACATAGAAACACTTTTTTTTTAACTTATCTGTATTATCTTGACAGTTTTACCTTTCATTTTTCATTTTGTCTTTTTTTCTTCAGAGGTGATGCAAGCCAGAGGACAGATGTCTAAGGGAGAGAGGGCTCCACACGAGCAACCAGTCATTTTTTTTCACAAGGTTTGCATCAACCAATCTGCATATTTAAACACAGTCAAAGTCTAGCATCTGATAAAATCTCTGACATTGATTTAACCCCCTTCCAATCTAATTCTGCCAGTGCTATTTTATTTCGTCTCATTAACTTTTTTTTTCTTATTTCATTTATGCCATCTAATTAGTTTTGTTTGATGGTTGCCATAGGCAACCCCTTTAAGTAAAACCCTTTGGGCTGTGTAATTTATTTAACCATTTTGGAAATCTACGTGGGCGTGTCAATTGCCATCAGGACATTGATTAAGGCTTCCTACACTGCTCTGGCTCTAAGGAGGCAGCAAATGAAAAGAGTTTGTTTTTCATCGATGGGACCTCCAGAGTCAGACCTTGTCAGCCAAGACTGTGAGCAGCCATGCCTCACATCTCTGCTTCTTTCACCCCCAATCAGCCCACTCACACCAGTCTGTGTCTGTTTGGCTGTTCATCTGTCTGTGAATAGCCAGTTCATCATACTTTCTCTGCCTGTCATTAAAGTCATGTTAAAAAGGCACAAGGCTTTGCTCAGTCCCTGGAAGCTTTCTTTCCTTCTTTTTAAAGAAACTTCTAGTAATGATTACAGGGTGTTCAGACTTTTAGGCCGATCACATGGATGTTTACTTATCTAGTGTTGAACAAGAGTAGAGACACATATTTGATGTAACTGTGCAGCCACAGAAAGTTTTCTATTAAGTTTTGTCACTGTGTGGTTTCATGAGCAGAGGACCAAACAGGCAAACCGTGCATGTGATCTCATCAAGCACATACTGTTTAGAGGATATTTAAGGGATTTGTTAGTTATAGATGTTGGTTTATGAAATGATTATTGACCTTTTCTCTGTTCAACAGGTTATCCTTCCTCTTTTGGAACAGTATGTTAAAAGCCACCGTCTATATTTCCTGTCTACTTCCTCGAGTGATAATAGAAGCCATGCCTCGAGAAAGGAAAAGGAGATGATTGCATGGTACAAAACAAAGTTTGCGTTCTTGTTTTTTATACTCTTATCTGATCATTTCTCAGCTATTTTGTGCATTTTTATTTATTTAAAGAAATATTTGAATTTTTTCAGAAAAAAGCTTCAATATATTCTGTCTTTTTATTTTGTGTCCTGTGATTTTCAATTCATCTTCTCTCATTACTTTCCTTGTGCTTTCTGTTTACATGTAGCCTCTTTTGTAAGCTTGCAGCGCTTGTAAGACACAGGATCTCAGTCTTTGGTAAGGATAGTGTGGACATTTTAACATTTATTTGTTTATTAAGTGTTAATCTGTGCTTTAATCCTCATAATTCACATATAATGTGTGCATGTGTTTTTTCAGGAAGAGAAGCCTCGTCAGTTGCAAGCTCCCTCCACGTTTTGGCTCAGGCTCTTGATGCCAGGTAACTGGATGGCACTTTCACACTCTGCCAAAATCGATCTTCTCGCTCTGCCTGCAGTGGCATCAGCGTTGCACCACCATGTCTAAGGATGAGATGACTGATGTAATTGAGCCACTGATGCATTGATGCTATCTAATTGTGGTTGATATCACTTTTGCTCCCTGAGGACAATGCCTGTGAAGCAAGCACAGTAGTACTGTGGCTCAGCAGAGGTTGATGCCATTCAGACTTGTCTGAGGGATAGATTAGCTGATAGATAACTGATTTAGTCCATTTAACTCCCAGCCAGAAGTGTCACAGTAGGAAACCTTCAGTGGATATTTCTCCTTTGCAATACTATAACAAAATAATGTAGAATATTTTTCAACTCAAATAATTTATTTTCCCACTTTTTCATTATAGGACTTTAATGAAGTCAGCACCAGAGTCTATTCAGACATCTCTGCATTCCTTTTTTAAGGCAGCGGCGTCTGATTTAGAGATGACTGTGGAAACTCTTTCTGAGAGCTTAGTTTCGCTGCCTCAGAGTAGGAGTCAGCTGGCAAGAGGAGTAGCCAAGGTTCTCAACTACACAACCTCCATCCTTCTCCCTACACTCACTTCTCTCTTCCTTCATCTTGGAAACCAGAACCATGGAGTAGATCTCCTGGGTAAGAACTACCATTATAGTGGTTAAGTAGGAATGCCATGTTATTGTATTATTTCATTTACATCCTAAAATGCATGCAGAAACATGCAGATGTCACTTGTTAAGATACATTTAGTTATCATCTCAGCATGACGAGAAACACACATACGTTTTCAGGTGTTGGATGCACAGCTGGTTTCCACACCCCTGAAATCACTTGGGTACACCCTCCCTTCAGCTTGAAACCAGCTCTCATTCAGTGCCTCGGTCATGGCCACAAAGCAGCAGGAGCATACTGTCTCTCCCAATAATATCCCGACCTTTCACGAATCATTCATTACCTGAATCAGCAAGCATGCAGCTAATCCACCTCTCAGTGACTGAATGCTTTCGAAACTGTGGGTTCAGTGGTTGTTTGTGAAAGAAAACTTATGCATCACCTTGTTTTTTCAGCTGGTGGTATACAGGTATCCTGCTACAGGATCTTAAACAGCCTCTACGCTCTTGGAATCAGTAGCAGCATCTACATGGAGGGGTAATGCTTGATTTCAGATGTCTCCAAGATGATATCTTAAATAATTTTTGTGTAATGTACCTATATCTCATGATTGAAGTTATTTATTATATTAACCACACAGTGTTGGTACAACATCAGGGTATTCAGGGTGTTATAAATGTTAAAGGCTACCAGATAGAAGAGGATGTTTAAACCTGAGATGCATAGAAAGCAGCTTTCAAGCAAACTTATGTTAGCAATCCCGATTTGTAATATTATATCGTACTTTAAAATTAGTCAATTATTCACCCATGCCTATATCCTGATATGCACAACTCTTTCTATACAGGCATAGGTCAGCAGCAGGTGCTTGTCTGGCAGCCTTGACAGGAGCTTTACCCGTGTGTTTCCTGGAGCCCGATCTAAACCAAAACAACCCTTACTCCATCTACAATATGATGACTGCTACTCAGATAAAAGGTATTATGCAGGCACATTTCATACCCTGTTATATTGTTATTCGCTGTCTCTTGGGAACCTTAAAAACCTTCCATCTTTGTTAGACCAGGGATTGCCAGATCAGGTGGAGGACATGTGTCCCCTCCTACCTTCTCTGGGACAGGCGCTGAGGGAAGTGGAGGAGCTGGCAGGTGCTGGAGCTCACCAGGCCCACTACATCCATGTTGCAGAGGTTACTTTGCCCATGCTGTGCAGTTACATTTCCCACTGGTGGAACTTGGGTCCTGAGGGACAGCCAGAAAGGCCAGTGTGTACCTCTGTCATTCCTAAGCATGCTAGTGACCTACTTGGCAACATCCTGCGTATCATCCACAATCATGTGGGTGCTAGCCAGGGTGACTGGATGAAACAGCTGGCAGGTACTTGTGTGGTGGACAATAGTGGCTTGTTGTTTAGATATACTTATTTCATATTAGTCAGTAATGCATATTTTCCAACATCTGTCATTTATATCTCTTAGTTTTTTCTCAGCCAGTCATATGTAAAGTCCATCCTGAGCTGTTAAAGAGCCACTTCCTGCCACTAATGGAGAAACTGAGAAAGAGGACAGAATGTGTGTTGGTAGAGGAGGAGCAGATGAAAGCAGAAGGCGGGGATACCTCTGATGCGGAGTTGCAGATACAAGAAAAGTTCGCTATGCTGGTCCGAGACCTCTACGCCTTCTTTCCCCTCCTCATCCCATTTGTGGATTCTCATCGGTAAGACACTCGAAGGTGCTTGTATGTGGAGGAGCGGATACTTATTTTTCTAAAGTTAGAAGTAACAGAAGTAATGTAAAGTATTTATAGACTCAATGAAAGGTGAAACTTATTTTGCTATTTTTTGTAGCGACTTGAGCTCCACTTTAATTATTTCATGGCCCCTGAAGTTCCCTTTTGAACCACATTGTTATTTTGTAAAGACGATAAAGAACAAATGTTGTTAAGAATTCAACAGCCAGTCGTTGATTTTTAACTGCAAAAAACTGAGAGATGATACTGCGAGGTTATGTTAGTTATTATTTCAGGCATATGCTTTTGCTTTACAAATTCTGTGTTGTGAATGTGTTTTGTCAAATTTATCTCAGAGCCAGGTGGCTGAAAGACCTGAACCCTGAGGCTGAGCAGCTGTTCAGCATGGTGGCAGAGGTCTTTATATTCTGGGCCAAATCCCATGTGAGAATGATACACAGTGTTTTTATTTATTTGTTGTTCTCATGCCAATGCCGTCTCAGTGAATATTTTGTCCATTAACTGTCACGTGTCTTTGCTTATGTTCTCTGCAACAGAATTTCAAATGGGAGGAACAGAATTATGTTGTTCAAAATGAAATCAACAACTTGTCTTTCTTGACCAATAATGACAAAACATTCAAGGTTGGTCATATTTACAATTTGACCTCATCCATTACATGTGTGCTGATGTACATCTCTTTACAAAATATATGTAGAAATCACAGAAGAATTGCAGCTGCCACTAAGTGTAAAGAAAAAAATCCTGTTTTCATATGATCCCAATACTCAGCTTGACAATGAGAAGAGGAAGATGAGGAGGAAGAGGGGTTGTTATTCCATCAACACCTCTCTCATTGTGGCTTTAATGAAGAGGCTGACCCCTGTGGGACTCAGGGTTTGTTTTCCAAGCGATCACAGTCTCATCATCTTGGCTAAGAATGCCTTCTCTCAGGTAAGTTGGAAATGTGGACCATGCTAAAATCCTCCACCTTTCACATCCTTCATTACGTGCTTGTGCACATTTGACACTGTTTAGTATACTTAATGTGGGCAATTACATGCTTTCCACAGAAGACCGCTGAGAATGAGATCCAAGACCATATTTTCAATTGTGTTGTGCATCTTCAGAATCAGGTGGGTGGCTGCTTTAATTTATTTGACTAAGCACCATAATCTTAGATAACTATCTTTGGGTACAAAATTTGAAAAGGCTCAAATGTATGCAGCATTGGAGAGTAACAGAATACATGTACATGGATGCCGCATGTAGTCCTGATGAGCCGGCCCGGGTTCGAGTATGACCCATACTTTAATTTATTTTTTTTAAACTCAATTTCCATCTGGGATTAAAACAGCTTTTCTGATTCTGATTGCTGGAAACCCAAAAAAACACGTGATAAGAGGCTCTAATGTAAGCGTCGTGTTAATATTGGTGGCGTCACTTACACAATGGACACAGAGCCAGCAGTGCCAGCAGCAGCCTTCAGGATCTCCACGCATTAACATGCTGTTTTTAGACTTGATGGATGGCGTTAACAACCTGATAGCTGCAAATAATCGTGTGCAGTTCCACATGATTATTAACAGACAAAAAGAAAACATATTACTGATACACTGTTCCCATTGGGGATATGTTAATTGGAAACACTACATTGCCCATAGGTGTGAATGCGGGAGTAAATGTGAGCGCAAATGGTTGTCTCTGTCTATGTGTTAGCCCTGCAACAGACTGGCGACCTGTCCAGGGTGTACCCTGCCTCTCACCCTAAGACAGCTGGGATAGGCTCCAGCGCCCCCCGCGACCCTGAAAAGCTACATTGTAGCTTGCCATCACCAGTGTGTGAATGTGTGTGTGAATGGGTGGATGACAGGTTGTGTAAAGCGCTTTGGGGTCCTTAGGGACTAGAAAAGCGCTATACAAATACAGGCCATTTACCATTAACGGAAGTGAATGGATGGATGGATGGACGGATGGACTACTGATACAGAAATAGTTTTCTATATGAGATCGCTGCAAAAAGTGCAGTCTTACCTAATGTCCACCATACTGTTACTCATTTTATATTTAGATTTAAAAATCTAGTTGGTATTGGTATGGCAAGTAGCCTTCAGTAATAGTAATAAATCACACAGCAATAGTACATTCATGTAGTTATAAAAACCATGACAATATATTAAATATTCCAAAGTATTCAGAATACGTTACTCTCATTGAGTAACTTAACAGAATATAAAATACATTTTGGTCCATGTATTCTGTTATCTATAGTGGAATACATTTTAAAAGTAACCTTCCCAACACTGAATGAGCAGGCCAACAGAAGTAAGCTTTAGACAGATGACAAGACAAAACAATAAGCAGATATACACCAATCAGGCATAACACTGTCACCACTGACAGGTGAAGTGAATAACACTGATTATCTCTTCATCATGGCACCTGTTTGTGGGTGGGCTATATTATTTTGTTCTCAAAGTTGTGTTAGAAGCAGGAAAAATGGGAAAGTGTAAGGCTTTGAGCAGGTTTGACAAGGAGTGAATTGTGATGGTTAGATCACTAAGTATGAGCATTTCCGAAACTGCAGCTTTTGTGGGGTGTTTCCGGTCTGCAGTGGTCAGTGTCTATCAAGAATGGTCCAAGGAAGGTAAAGTGGAGAACCAGCCATGGGTGGACAAGGCTTATTGATGCACATGTGGAATCAAGGCACATGTGGTCCAATCCAACAGACAAGCACACGTGCTGTAAAATGTAATGCTGGTTTTGATGGAAAGATGTCAGAATACACAGTGAATTGTAACTTGTATATGGGGCTGCATAGCTGCTGACCAGTAAGGGTGTCCAAGGTCACCCCTGTCCACCGCTGAAAGGTAATGGCAGGGTGCATCTGTGTCACTTACCTGGGGGACACCTGGCACCAGGATCCACTGTTGTAGAAAGAGCGAGTTGGCTGAGGCAGTGCGTTGCTTGGGCAAGGTTCTGCTGAGGAACCTTCTGCAATCCATGTGGCTGTTACTTTGACGTGTTGCAGACTATACACACTCGTTCACAGAAACAGTATTAGCTGATGGCTGTGGCCTCTTTCAGCATGATAATGCACCCTCCCAAAAAACAAAAACTGGTTCAGGAATGAGTTTAAGGTGTTGACTTGGCCTCCAAGTTCCCCAGATCTCAGTCCAATCGACCGTCTGTGTGATGTGTTGGACCAACAAGTCTGACCCATGAAGGTCCCGCATCATAACATACTGGACTTAAAGGATCTGTTGTTAACATGTTGGAGCCAAATACCATAGGACACGTTCAGAGGTAGAGTCCATGCCTTGACGAGTCAGGGATGTTTTAGCAGCAAAAGCGGGACCAACACAATATTGGGCAGGTGGTCATAATGTTATGCCTAATCAGTGAAGTATGTATTAGTTGTATGAATTTGTGTTTTGGACTGCCCTTAGACTGCAAATTACAAGCGTATCTTTTCTACTTTCTGAAGAAATTCATCATATTCACCGATATGCTTGAGTACAGAGTAACTTTTAATTTGTGCAACAAGTGTCTGGGAAATTAAATCAGAGAATGCTTTCATAGCCTGTAAAATCCAAAGCTGTCTTTTTATTAATCTCAGGCAGTGGCTCATTGTTCACCAGAGACCTGAATGTGACATACTCGCCACACTGTACTAAATATGCATGCAGCATTTCTGTATTCATAAATCACTGATAAATGTGTTCACTCATAAGTTAGTGATGGGAAAATTCTGCTTTGTCATTATAAACAACTTTTAGAGCAGAAATTCGAGTAAATGTTTTTCCCAGCGGTCTTTGAAATCCTTTTTTCTTTTTTTATAATGATTTGTGAATACAGAGTCTTTATTATTAGTTAGTATATACAAGTTCAACAACTGTTATAGCTACCAGCACCTTGGAACAAAACAAATGAATGAGCTAATCTTTTCTTCTTCTTTTTTTTTATAGGGATCAGACAGTTTAAGACAGAAGATTCTTACAGAGCTCCCACACCAACCCGGGACCATCAGTGGTGCAGAAAAGACTGTTGACAGGATTATGAAAATAGCTCGAGTCCTTTATTATCTTGACCAGGTGAGCTTTTCCATGCTATAGAAAAAGTTGCTGCTTAAGACACTGAGTAAAGGCTCCGTCCTTTCCTTAAGGTAAATTTGACAAGCTGAACGCAATCTGTACTGTACAGGAGACACGGCACGAGACTGATTGACAATGGTCTACAGCCAATCAGGACGCAGAACACAATGCACTGTCAAAGCAAAATTGCACAAAAAATCTGCGAAAACTGAACCGCGTTATAGTGAGGGACCACTGTACACAGACTAATATTACCTTATCCTATTTTTAAAAAAACAAAACAAACAAACGCACAAAAAACCAACACTTTTAAGCTGTCTATGGTGTTGTATATCTAACATCTATTTCATTTGTGGAATGGGGAACTTACCATAATTACGTTCTCCCTGTACACCATATTAAGATGACAGACTCAGGAATCCTCATCTTTATATGTGAATAGTTAATTCAGTAAAAGTGGAGAACTTAAATGCTTTTTTTGTTTTATAGAAAGGGAATAGAAGAAACTAATTCTTGAACAAAAGCTCTCTTTTAGTAGAAAGTCTCACATTGATGTCTGGGCAGTGTTGGAGTTGCAACTCTACCCGACAGTGTGTTAATGTCCATGATGAAGTTATTGAAACGTTTGCTGAGGTGTTTTCATTCTTAACTGCGTGATTGCTGCGTGACAGAGATTCAGTTATGTTTGGTGTCTTGGAACTATTTTATTTGATATATACCTCTCTGTATGTATTTGTGTATCATGACAATAAGTGGTCTTGGAGACATCTGTTTATATATCCTGCTCAGCAGATTTTTTTCAATCCCATGATGTCACAACTCTGAGATGCAGTCACAAAAGTATACAGGTGTGGTCTCTCTGCAAGACAAACTTTAATTTTAGCATTTTGTGACCTGTTGATTGTTTTGTTGATTTCATTTATTTATGTCTTTTAATGTTTGAATTAAACCATTTAAGCCTATACAATAGTTACTATTGCATAGTCCTTTGTACTTAGTACTGGTCACCAGGTTCATGTGCACCATGGTTTTGTGTTCAGGTGGAACACCCACTGAGAAACAAAAAACCTGCGAGACACACAGTTTTATCAAAACAGAGGAAACGTGCAGTGGTGGCCTGCCTGAGAATGACTCCACTCTATAACCTACCCAGGTAAATAATAATAATAATAAAAAAAGATTATCTAAATACTTGGCTTTGCTTTAGTAAGTATATCAGTTGCCATATTGGTTAGGCAAATGACAAAAGGCTAAGCACCCATCCTAGTAATATATATATATTTTTTATAGGTTTATAGTCCTCTTTTAGGTTTTCAGTCTCTCTCTACAGGGTATCCTCCTTTGTATAGAAGCTCATATTCCATTACACAAGCCACAATTGACTGAAAGCTGACCAAATCTTCTCAAATACCTGTAGGACAGACACTGTCATTTTAAACCCATTCTCACTTTTCCCCAAGAGCCTCCTCACTGCAGAAAATGCTTACTTTGTTGCTTAGCTTAACAGTCCACAGATGATACTGACAACTTGACCACTGAGTACTATCACCTGCTCATGTGGTGTTTTTATATAATTTATAAAGTGTGAGACTGCAATGTAGTAGCACGCCCACTCATTTGATAGTTGGCTACCAGGTTATCACAATCCACTTCTAGCCCTTTGACATTAAGAGTGCCACAACAGTAACAAAATTACCAGCTTCCTGGATTGTTGCTCTGGATTTCTGTGGTTTGAGTCTCACTATCTGACAACTGTGTGAACAGCTTGTGCTCCATTGGGAGATGAAAAAATATATTGAAATTTGTTTTTGGTTATAGAATTTCTCTCTTTTGCTCTCTACGTCAGTCTCAGTTTGAAAAACATCAATAAAGCAGTGTATGATTTAAGGCAGGCTGATCTTGTGATTGTGGGTTTGTCACTTATGTTACCAGAGAAGAAATATCTTTATATTTTTTTTCCTGTGTTTCCTTCCTTCTACTTCAGAAAGATAAGTCTTCTCTTTTTGTCATCCTTTTAATTTTCGTCTCTAGGCATCGAGCTGTTAACCTGTTTCTTCAAGCCTACAATAAATCCTGGATATCTGCTGAGGAGCACAGCTTTGAAGAGACACTTGTGGAGAATTTAGCTGTGAGTGGAGAAGGTGGCCCTGCTGGCATTAGTAAAAGTTTAAAATAATGTAATGTTCTTAAAGGGTACCAGATGAGACATGAATTGATTCAACACAGATTTATTGTTTTTAATTAAGTGAAATGTGGCTCTAAATTGATTTTGATGAACTATTCTTACATGAAGTTTTACTGCAGATTGCCTAAGGCACCAGTCAGATAGGCCAACAGACTGGTCGATGACACCTTGTTGCCAGCATTTGCTAAGGAAAAATATGGGTTCTCCGGCTGGTTGACATGTGATTTCCTCAGGTTGCAAGCAGTGGCTAGTTTGAACTGTTATTAAACAGGTATATGGTGCTGCACAGCTGCCACAAGGTTTTGGTTGCAGTGGCAGCATTTTGTACTTTGAAGTTTCACTACCACTTGGTTATTAGTTGGCGAGCGTTTGCAGACGGGATCTTACATGCAAACTGTGAGTAGCTCTGACAATCTGCTAGCAATGGGTCTGGGGGATGCTCAAACAGAGATTGTTATGGGGTTCAGTGCCTCTAAAAACTGAACTTTTCGTGTGCATATAATTAGATATATTCTTCTTGGCATATGATGTTAGTACAGTACCTTCTGTTTTGCCAACAAAACACGTATCGTGTAAAACACACACTTTTTGCTCAAAATCAGCTTAAGACTGTGAGGAATTTCAGGCTGCACAAAAATCCCACCTACACTGTTGTACTGAATCGAAATTAAACACTAATACTATTGTACAATATTTTTACACTCACTAAACTGCCCACTTTCTGGCATAAAAAGTAGGTGGGATGTGACATTGTGCACTCATTATTGTGTTGCCATCTTATTATCACTTTAAACATTTGTTTTATTAAAAAAAAATGTAATCCATTAAGACCTTTTGCTTTCATATGTCTTTTTAGTAGAATTTCCAAATAAATAACAAAGCAGCCAGGTGTAAACCTCAGTCTGCTGTGCACAGCCAGGCTGTGAGATTAAGAGATGTTAGTTCCTTTATTCTTTTATTTCTGGCTTGCAGAAGAGGGGAGTAATGGAACTGTATGTAGGTGGAAGAGGGGAAGAAAAGGATGTGAAGGAAGGTGCCAAACCAATCGATCCTCTCCTACAACTCATTACACTCTTCAGTCGAAGCGCCCTGACAGAAAGCAGGTGTGTGTGCTTATCATAAAAGAATCACTTGCAATAACATTTCCAGTCAGCACAACTATTATTAGTCAAACTCATCAGCCAGAAAGCCAACATTGAATTGACCAGAAGCATTATATTTTTGTCCAACATCTGTGGCCACTGATCTCTGAAAGCTTGGAATGTGGAATATGTTTCTGCTTTTTCCAGGGCTTTAATTTTTGCATAAATGCGTTCTGCTTGATGTTGCAAATAATGTGTATCTTTTACATCAATACATTTTAAGCTGCAGTTTCAGTGGAATGTTCAAAGCATATATTTTTTGCCACAGATGTTGTGAATGGGGGGAAAAAAACCTTTCTTGTTGCAAGCAGTGGTTAAAATTCTTGTTGAAAAGTAACTGAAATAAGTATTCCTATAATGTCATAAATGCTCTTTTTCTTATTGTGTGATCTTATCCACCAGTACAATTAAGATATATTTCTGATATTCCTGCAGAAACTCATAACATGAACATAAATGAACACTTTGGCATCATGTCTTTGCAAAAAACCTTGGTGGAGGAGCATTCCCATTTGTAAAGTCACTGCAGAGATTTAATCAGATTAGTTGGTATCCAGGTGTTGTCTGTTAAGGTCAATAAACATGTTCAATGCCACTGGGTAGACTTGGGCATTAACTGTGTCCGCATAAGGTGTTTAAAGGTAGTAGTGCCTTCAACAGTGTGAGGGGTTTTGAATGAACTTGAACTTGTGCATACTTTGATACACACTAATCACGTCTCGTTTGTTTTCTTTGTTCACAGTAAGGATGGAATTGACAGTCTCTATAAGCCCTACGCTGCTATTATGGCCAAGGTAATAGAACACTCAGTAGTGTCCAAATCTCTGTTCATGTCTTGAAGTCCTTTACAAAAGCATGCAGTGTAACTGCCTGTAACGTTACATATATGACATTGTACTATCATAGTATTTTGAATTTTCTTCTTGAACAACATTTGCCAGCTCCTAAAATTATAGCAATAAATTAGAGAGAAACAAAATGCACAATGTGGCTTTTAATATTACTTTCATTCTTTTGTTTTTTGGTGAATAGCGCATGCAACACATATCAAAGCAAGGTGCTGTGAATTTATGAACTAGGTGTTTCTTTTGTATCCACTTGTATTTTCTACATCTTTTCACATCACCACCTTGCTTTATGTGTTTGCTTTTCAAGAGTTGTAGCAGAGAGGGTGAAGAGAAAGAGCAGGAGGTGGAAAGCTTTGAAGTAAGCGACTTGTGTTTAATATTCCTTGCTTAGAATTTTTGTTAGAGGCTTAACTTGTTAGTTTTTACAATTTCTATTGTGAACAGTGTTATAGATTATTAATAGTCAACATTATGTTAAATTCAATTTGATAAAATGGTGTATAAAAACATGAATTATCTTTTCATTGCCTCAGGAGAAGGAGATGGAGAAACAGAAGTTGCTGTACCAGCAAGCCAGGTTACATTGTCGTGGAGCTTCTGAGATGGTCCTGCAAACTATCAGCGCCAGCAAAGGTAGGAAAGACATTCAAATATTAGAAAATATTTTAATGTAATAGAAAAATATATTAAAATCATAGAAATTTAAATATTAAGATTAATCTTTTGCTTTCTAATTTATTATGTTGTTGCTTTAGATGTGCCAGCAGTAAGTCAGAGTATTTGTGTTAGCTGAATACTCGACAAAGATTCCCACATGCAGGGAACTGAGAAAGTAATCTTTTTCTTTCTGATTGATTTAGTGCTCATTTTCTTGAGACTGACGTGAAGAGAGTAGATGCTTGGTGTGTTTCACTCCTTTCTTCAAATGTGCATCATGCAGTGTTATTGTTTGGAGTCAGTACCATGCTTTTTCTTTTCTTTTGATTAATTTCAGGTGCCATAGGCTCCATGATTGCCCCTACACTGAAGTTAGGCATTGCTATTCTCAATGGAGGAAATGCCACTGTTCAGCAGGTACAGTAATTTCATTGCTTTCCCCCGGAAACTATTTACGTGGGTTTTTTTTTTCTTGGCATTCACAAAATAGATCTGATATATACCTTCTGTGACATTCGCTATTTCTTCATTTTAAATAGGAGTTCAGGTTTTTATATAATAAAACAAATGATTACCATGGATTGAATAACTTAGGGAAGAAACTGTTTTATCAAAGATCTCAGTTTAAAGTAAACGAGTATCTAATGATACACCAGTCAGCCAAAACACTGTGGCCTGTTGGTCCTCTGTGTCTGCCCTGCTGGATGTGTGATCTCTGACGGTGCCTTTTAATATGTGACCAGAAGGCAACAGATCCTGCAAGTTGTATACATTCCCAGTGCTGACCATGGGCACCTTGAAAGCCTTTCCATTTCAGAGATCTAATCATGGTGATTTGGTTCCTGACAAGCTGGGGCAGGCCTTTACATCTACATACTTCTCCTGCATCCACCAATATGAACTATGAGTGTTTACCCGTGCTTACATTATACATATATATCTGTGAGTGGTCCTAATTTTTTTGCCTGTTTGTGCAAATTAAAATGATTTTTTTTGGTCTCACTGCAGGACGTTAAATAGGTCTACAATAATGTTTAAACTAAGTGCCCTCGTGTCATTATTTGTCCTTATTAGAACATAGCCTTTTCAAATTTTGTCATCTTACTGCAGCAATGCTCACAGTAATAAATCTAATTATCCCTGTTTCAAATCAGATCGTCCATTTATCAGACCTTGTCTTTGATGCTTTTGTCTGATAGAAAATGCTGGATTATCTAAAAGAGAAGCGAGATGTGGGCTTCTTTCAGAGCATGGCTGGGCTCATGCAGTCATGCAGGTGAGTAAATGTAGAAAAATTAGATATCATGTCAAATGTTATAAAGGCTGGCAGGTTTCAAATACTGATTGATTTAATTTAAAATAAAAAAAGGCAAGAGTACAAGTGCTTTACTTGTGCTCTTTTTCTGTGTGGTTGTGCCTGCTTTTCTTCTGTTCAGTGTTTTGGATCTGAATGCCTTTGAGAGGCAGAACAAAGCAGAGGGATTAGGCATGGCCACGGACGAGAGCTCAGGTACTGTATTCAAATAGGCAAAAAAAAATCTATTACTATTAATCCATGTCACAGCAGAAGAGCCAGCTGTGAGATCGATGGCCTTAAACATACTCTGAATTTACAGTCAAAAGTGGCCTAATTTTCTGTTCTCTTCATTCTTTGAACATTCTCTTACTCGGTTTATGAACCTTAGACCTCTGCTTTTTTTTTTTTTTTTCCCTCACCCTTTTCTGTCCATCTTTTTCCCAGGAGAAAAGGTGATGCCTGACAAAGACCTAACCTGTGACCTGTTCCGTTTCCTTCAGCTGCTCTGTGAAGGACACAACTCAGGTTAATTGCTTTCTGCTGTATCCAGTTACATTCTGTCAAAGAGTTCACAAAAATATATTGATATATTGAAGAAACATGGATGGAAATTACTGTAGTTTAACAGCGACTTATAACAGCTGTGTACTACATATATATTGTCCAATCCTAATGTATGCAAAGCTCACTTTTAACAATTTGTCCACTTTAATAATATTTTGCTTATGTGTTAGATTTCCAGAATTACTTGAGAACACAAACAGGCAACAACACCACTGTCAACATCATTATATCCACTGTAGACTATTTACTAAGGATACAGGTAGGCACGCTGTGATGAGTTTTCATTTGTAATGCTGTGTATTGGTGTTTCATTTAAGGCACATTTGTGGAGCGTAATGTTTTAGTGATTGATTGACTTAATTTCAAGTAGATGTGTCCAAAGATAAGGCAAAGTTAAATTAGCTGGAGTGCAATAATAGAATTGGATTTGTTCTTTGTCTTTTTCAATAGTTTTGTCTCTAAAAGAACTTTTTATTTGTGCTCATGAAATGCAAACATTTTCCTCTGCTACACTGTAGGAGTCCATCAGTGACTTCTACTGGTACTACTCAGGTAAGGATGCGATTGATGCACAAGGTCAACACAACTTCTCCAAGGCCATTGAAGTGGCCAAACAGGTCTTCAACACTCTCACTGAGTACATACAGGTAAGTCTGTTTCCATTACATTCCATAGTGATTTTATTGCCCAGCTCTGTAGCCTTCATTAAACTTGAACTTGTTCCACAATGTAGTCTTTAAAATGTCTAATTAAGGATCCCAGCAGTCTGTTAATTTGGGGTTGTATATTTCAAATTCTTGTCATGCTGCAGAATTAATTTAGGACCAATCAAACTGCTTCGTAATAGCACTCTGTGATGGGTAAGATGTAAAGTGTCTAAATCTAGACACTCTACATAAATCCACAAGCCGGGGGCTTCTGCAAAGAGCTGTCTATTTCTCTATAAGTTCACTTTGCTTTTACTAGCAGCTCATATTATCAGAGTGTGCATGCAGGGTCCGTGTACTGGGAACCAGCAGAGTCTAGCTCATAGCCGTCTTTGGGACGCTGTTGTGGGATTCCTCCATGTCTTTGCGCACCTGCAGATGAAGCTCTCTCAGGTACAGCGTATTAATCCACTCACAGTGACCATGCATGTTTCCATTTTAAATTCAGAAGACATAAAATTGACAATGCTCTAGGTGATCATGTACTGCAGGGTTTCTACCCCCGCAGTCATCATTTTTAGTTCAGATTTATTTTTAATATAAAACTGTCCTCTGATAATGTGCCCACTCGTGCACAGTGTAATATGTGAAATCAGTAGTACAACTTTATGAAAATTTAACTATGAATATATTTTCTGCACATACAGGATTCAAGGCAAATAGAGCTTCTAAAGGAGCTCATGGATTTACAGAAAGATATGGTTGTGTTTTTGCTTTCCATGTTAGAAGGTAAATATCTTCTGTTGTTTTGCAGTTTGTGATAGTAATAAGTTACCATTTATCATTAAGTAACGACATTCCTGTGCCTCATTCAGGTAATGTTGTCAATGGAACTACTGGAAAGCAAATGGTGGATATGTTGGTGGAATCGTCAGGCAATGTGGAAATGATTCTCAAGTTTTTTGACATGTTCCTCAAACTTAAAGACCTCACCTCCTCAGAAGCCTTCAGAGAACATGATCCTGATCGTCAGGGAAGCATATCCAGGAAGGACTTCCAGAAAGCCATGGAAAACTGCAAGCATCTCTCGCAGGCTGAGATCCACTTCTTGCTTTCGTGCATGGAGACTAATGATGGTGAAATTGTGAACTATGAGGCCTTTGTGGATCGCTTCCATGAGCCAGCAAAAGACATTGGCTTCAGTATCACCGTTCTCCTCACCAACTTGTCAGAACACATGCCCAACGATTCAAGACTAAAGACATTCTTGGAACTGGCAGAAAGTGTTTTGACTTACTTTCAGCCCAGTCTAGGACGCATAGAGATCCTCGGCAGTGGGAAGCGCTTCGAACGCGTCTACTTTGAGATCAGCGAATATAGCCGTACACAGTGGGAGAAGCCACAGGTTAAAGAGTCGAAGAGGCAGTTCATTTTTGATGTTGTCAACGAGGGTGCAGAGAGAGAGAAAATGGAAATGTTTGTCAATTTCTGTGAGGACACCATTTTTGAGATGCAGCTTGCAGCTCAGATATCTGGCTCTAACACTGGAGAAAGAAATACTGGGAAACAAGTCGAGGATAAACGACGCCTGGGCGATCAGGGAATGTTTTTCATGATTCATTGGTGGCTATTTCTCTCAACTCTACTTTCTCTGACAAACCTAAAGACACTGATGAAGATGACCCTGAAGGATATCCTCATGTCGGCTGCTCTATTCGTCCGATTCATTTGTATGGCTCAGGTACGGTGCATTTATGTTTTATTTCACAGCATCTTATACGTGCTGTATATTGCTTTTGTGAGTGGTGGGCTCATAGAGGGAGCCAAAAGGATTAGGATATCTGACTTGCTTGGCGGTATCCTTGAACCAACTCTTGATGAGGTCACGGAGGTGCCAAGTGGTGTGGATCAGCCGAGGAGGTACTCTGCCAGTTTTTCGTCCCACAGAGAATTGAGGGAGATTGGGCAGATGGGAGCTGTGACCTCCCCCAGAGAGGTGGATGTACTGTCAAGCATTTTTGGCCTCAAACTAAAGAAAGAGGAAGGTCGATACAAACTTGTAGCACAAGACCTCACTGCCAGTCTGGATGACCTGTTCAGCACAAGTTCCAGGACCAGTGCTTCCTCTGATTTTGAGAAGCATCAGATAACGGTATGAAAATTACATTCAGAATGTTTTATTTAATGTTCGTGGCTCAGTACATTTTATTTTTCCCAAGGTTTTTCATCTGTGTGGACTTGTCTTAAGCTTCATTGATTTGTAATACTTTGATACTGTTTGAGCTTCATATTAAACTTTGATTCTTAATGAATTTTACAAGCAGCAAATTAAGGATCACACAACCACAGAGGATAAAAATGAAGACACAAAAATGAACACAGAGTGAGTCTCTTGCATGCTTTCTTATTTGGTTCTCAAAGAGGGATTTTCTTTAACTTCTCAATAACACTTTAAGTGTTAGAGTCGCTAAAATGTGTGTTTAAAACCAATAAAAAATATTTTGCTAAATGACAGGCTGCTCCTTCTGGCTGCTCCCTTAACTCTCAAGGGGTTACAACAACAGATGGACCTGCATGTTTTATTTGATTTGATTCCCTGAGGCTGAATTTGTGTCTCCCTCTGGTCTAAAATCTTGGGTCTTAAGCAAACATGCCGACCACTACACTGTTGAGTCACTGCCATTCAAATATAAAAAAACAACTGACTTTTCATGTGGGCTTAAAGCAAAGGTTAAGATCACATTTAACATCAAAAGTTTGAAATCTTAACAGGCAAAATTCTGCTTTCATCATCCCAGATATTGGTCAAAGTAAGGTTGTTTGACTTTCCCTCTGTTTGCGTATGGATTATTTGCAGAGAGAAGTCTGAGAAGAAAATTGGAAATGAGAAAGCAAAGGAAAGGGGGAGAGCCAAGAGATTCTCAAATAAGTTAAAAGAACCACAGAGCCACCAATCTGCCCTTTGGGAGACAATTGGCACTCATAACAAGAGCCTGCTGGTAATATGCACACACAGAGACACACATGGCTGTGAATGTATGAGTACAATGTAGATAAGGATGCATCCTTACACCCACGTCAGTTTTCCTCCACAGTCACATAAATATAAAGGCCACACACCTCAGATTTTTTTCTGTTTCTTTTTTCCAGAACTATTTTGCAAGGAACTTTTATAATCTGCGCTTGCTGGCTCTTTTTATCACCTTTGCAATCAATTTCGTCCTTCTGTTCTACAAGGTGGGAATGTGCTAATGAGACAAGTATTTTGTGCTGTTGTGTGTTTTGTCCATATTTTTTTTTTTTGCCCATTATTTGCTACTTCATGCTGTGAAGCCCAGGGAGTCAAACTGGGTAGTCTCGGTCGATGCTTTACTTTAACAACATTGAATTTCTTATATTAAAAAAGATGGTTTTTAATATTTTGTCAAAAAAAGTCAACTTTGTCTTAATTATTATATATTTGGTCTACTGTCTACCCAAGGTAACACCGTTTCCTACCCTGAAAGGAGAGGAAGGAATGACCACATCTGTTTACGGTGAAGAACTGAACTCTGATGCTGACAACAACAGCGAGGGCAGAGTGTATTTTGTACTTGAAGAAAACAGTGGATACATGGAGCCCTCTCTCAATTTTCTGGCTGTAGCACACACAATCATCTCCTTCTGTTGTATTATTGGTTATTACTGCCTCAAGGTATACCAGTTTAAGAACTTCTTTCACTTTATATAATCACTTTTTACCTGTCAAGAGCCATGAAGTAAATTATTAACTTGAATGTTTTGTTAGTGTATTACTGGTGTACTTATTCAAAGAATATAGTGACTATTGTAGTGCGTTTGATTGAAAGGTACCATTAGTAATCTTCAAACGTGAGAAGGAAGTGGCACGAAGGCTGGAGTTTGATGGACTCTATGTGACAAAACAGCCTCCTGAGGAAGACATCAAAGGCCAATGGGACCGACTGGCAATTAACACCCCGTATGTTCATGACTTGTGTTTTAATATCATTTTTATTCATAAAGTAATGGAAAAATCAAATAACAGCCTGTTTTGTACTTCAAATCTAAGAAACCTGCTACTGACACCTAGTACTTGCTGGACTCTTCGTTAGGTAGGCTTGACTGACTTGGCTTTAAGCCAAATATCAAATCAGCCAATCACGTGGCAACAGCCATGAGGACATGATCAATACGACTTGGTGAATTTCAAACTGAGCACCAGAATGAGGGACAAAGGTGATTTAAGTGGCATTGTTTTTGGTGGACTAGTCTGAGTATTTCAGAAAACTGCTAATCTACTGGGATTTTCCAACTGGGGTTTACAGAGAAAAGGGCAAATATCCAGTGAGCGACAGATCTTTGGGTGAAAATGCCATGTTGATGTCTAAGGTCAGGGGAATATGCCCACACTGCTTTGAGCTGATAGGAAGGCAACAATAACTCAAATAACTACTCAGTATCATGTCTGAAAGCACAATATGTCAAACCTTGAAGCAGATGGGCTAGAGTAGCAGACCACACTGGGTGACACTTTTATAAGCTAAAAACAGGAAACTGAGGATACAATAAACAGAGGCTCACCAAATTAGACGATAGGAGATTGGAAATATGTTGGCCGGTGCGATGAGTCTTGATTTCTGCTGCTAGATCTGAATGGTGGGGTCAGAATTTGGTGTAAACAACATAAAAACATAGCTGCATCCGACCTTGTATCAAGGGTTCTGGTTGCTGATGGTGTAATGCTGTGACTGTAATTTTGCTGGCACCCTTTGGGGCCCTTATTATCAACATTATAATTTCCACACCACAGCCTGCCTTAGTGTTGTTGTTGACCATATCTATCACTTTATGACCACAGTGTGCCCATCTTCTGATGGCTGCTTCCAGCTCGATAATGTACAATGTCACAAAGTTAACATCTCCAGCTGGTGTCTTGAACATGGCAATGAGTTCACTGTACTCAAATGGCCTCCATGGTCACCAAATGCCAATCCAATAGGATACCTCTGGGATATGGTGGAATGAAAGATTTGCATCATGCATGTGCAGCTGACAAATCTGTAGGAACTGCATGACCCTGTGCTGTCAATATAGTCCACAATCTCTAGGGAATGTTTCCAGCACCTGTAAATTAAAGCAGTTCTGAAGGCAGAATAGGGCCTAACATGTTTTTAATAAGGTGTAACTAATGAGGTGGCTGGTGAGTGTATACATATTGAAGTGGCAGGCTGACATTTTTCACTCAATGTTGCTTCAGTAAATGTTACAGTTTCTGTTCCTCCCATATGAATGAGTCTCTTACTCTTTATGTTTTCAGATCATTTCCAAGCAATTACTGGGATAAATTTGTGAAGAGAAAGGTAAGGTCTGGTCTAAAAGTGCTTATGCATTTATATAATTACGTGCATATTCCATGTAGTTACATTGCATTAAGAAACATAATGACATTTACCGTTTCATCACAGGTGTCATTATTTCCCTGTAAAATACCAAAATGATTTTCTTGCCTCAATAGACAGTGCAACACCTTCAGCCTTCTCATTGATTATGTCTCTGTAGTTTAAAAAAGGAGATCATTGTCATTGTCTGCTTTAAGAAAGCCCTTTTTTGGTCTTTTCCCCCCAATTTAGGAACACTTAATGTGACTCATAGAAATTCAACTTGTAATGCACTGGTAGGAAAGCTACTGGGGGCTATACTAAGGGTTTGGGATTACCTCCTTTGGGATTAAAATAACTACTTTTGAGATTTACTAAAGAGACACATACGCATTACTTTCTTGGCTGGCCTTAGGATTTTCCCTTTCTGAGTGCAGAATTTAGGGAGGACAGTATCTAAATCAATCATACAAATGTTATTTACTAAGGTTTGCAGGTACTTACCCTGAATGACCAGTGTCCCATATTTTTCTGGTGCTTCTGCTTTTTCTTTTTTTGGTAGCGGAGCAGAACTGAATGTAGAGTGTAAGGAGGAGGAGAAGGATTAGTTGCCTAGTTCAAGAGGCCTGCAAGCCATAGATGTATTATCAGCAGCAAAGTCGAGTTTTATAGCAAGTATTTCATTTTGCTGTGTTTGGTTTTTAGTCACATTTATACACAGAAATATTATTGAAAACCTATCTTTGCTCAAAAGTATCCACACAGCACTATCATCAGATCTCACACATGTTAGACTTGTGTCTAAGTCTTAATGTTGTTAAGGTGTCAATGAATGCAGATCAACATTTTGAATACAGTATTTGTTTTTTGTACAGGCAGATTAGAGTCGGATGGCTTTATTTGATTTGAGTAAATGCCTGTAGCACGCAGGAAAAAAGACCCCACACATTCATGCATGTGCAGCAGTAACAGTAATTTCAATAGAAACAGATGTGTACACTTTATTAATGTACTGTGTTATTTTGGCGCTGCTAATTTGCTCCACTCTTATTGGCACATTCTTGCGATTGCAGCCTCACTTTATGCGGATGACTTATTAAATCTGGCCTTGTGTGCTGCATCAAACTACATTCACTGATCATTTTATCAGGGGAAGCAGTTATTTAAATATTTAAAGTCTTCAGTGTTTGGAACATGCTGCTGTTCCCCTCTCATTTGAAGTGATTTGTTAGGAACAGTGTTAGCAACAACTTTATTTCACTGTATCACTTGTGCTTTACACTTGAATGAGTATAGGTTTGCCATTTTGTTTTGGTGATATGGTTTCATAGACACATCCAGCTAGTATTTATGGTAGTACTCATCAGCTTCTGAAGGGATATTTGGAAGTATTGATTTTATTTCACAGCAGTACTGTATATTGCATTTTCCTGGCAGCGTATATTTGAACAAAAAAATAGATATGACGGGTTCTCACAGCGACTGCTGTGGCTCTCGGGTTTTGTTAAGTTGTAGTTTAATGTTTGGATTTCTGTTAGGCATTACTGATATTCTAATACTTATTTGCTTGGGTCTTGGTTTCATATCATGGTTTCAGTATCATCCTATTAGGTTAAACTTAGTGGCTTAGTTCTTCTGATTCTTGTTTGACATCCCTGAGTTCTGGTTCTTGTCATGATTTCTGTGCTGTTCTAGTGTTACTGCTGTTTTTGATTTGTGTTTTATTTGGTTTTGAGTTTATCCTTTGAGGGTTGTGTGCTAGTTTTGCTTCCTGTCTGTCTTCCCCTGACTCCCTGATTGTTTTCACTCTTCTCTCGGGAGTAGTCAGTCTTCTGTGTATATACAGCATAGAAATGTGTTCCATTTTGTCCTTGTTGAGTCGTTCTGTCTGCTACTCTCAGTGAGCTCCTTGTAATTTTTGTTTACCTATTGAAGTATGCATTTTTGGACTATGTAGTCTGCTACTAAAGCTTGCTTTTTGTTAAATTGTTCTGCACTGCAATGTGGCCCTTGCCTATACACTGCAAGTTTTATGATAGGCACCTGGTTGTAAGGCGTAATTAATAATTTATTAAGTAATTTTTGCACAAACACCTTCATTTAAAGAAGAAAATGTCAGGACTGGAAAGTAGTGTTTTGACTTTGAATTTCATTAAAGCACTTTGACTTTGGTTTTGGCTTTTTGCCACTTCATGGACAGTTGGTCTACATAAAATACACCTGGCACTCCCACATTGCATTTAATACCCTTGATTGCATCATTTTAAGAACTTGCAGTAAAATAGATGGTTAGAAGGTTTGTGATATTGCTTGCCAGACTTCAGAGTGCCTGGGTTTGTAATGGCAAATGGGCTTTATAATAAAGCTTGGCTCTTATTTTAATAGATTCAGTCACATAAAGTTGAAACTCATGTATTTGTCATGAGCCTAAGTCAATATTTTTAAACCAAGATGCAACGCCTGTGCATTCTATCAGGAAGGTAAATGGTAAAGTCTGCATCAACACAAATGTGTTGTTTACTTTAAAACCAGTGTTTGTGCCAGTCATTCACACAACTGTCCAAACAAGCAAAACTAAACAAAAACACCCCCAAAACATTTGCAACACAAGTGTCTGACAATCTTTGTTTCGTTACACTTAGACTATGCAGAATTCAGTATTACTCCAAATACCATTTATCATTGTCTTGTGTAATTCATGTGACGATACACTGAAGAACACATTGCTTGCGTCACGATGCAAACATGTCTTCTTCCTTGTTCAGGTGATGGATAAGTACGGTGACTTTTATGGCTGCGAGAAGATAAGTGAACTCCTAGGTCTGGACAAGGCTGCTTTAGACCTTAATTCTGAAACAAAAACAAAGAAGAGGCTCAAGAGAGACGCTGCCTGGAGTGCTCTGTGAGTAGAGTTTGCAATTGTGCATTCTTAAAAAGATTCATGGGAAACATCTGAGGTCTAATGTGTCATTTATTTAGCTCTGCGTGCAATTTCAGACAAAATTATGGTGTAGTTTTTCGTTATTTATGACATTGCTATAGAACGGTTTAATGCATGCAAGAACACAGTCTCATTTTCTATATTGTATATGCATTTTAATAAATACAAATAATTCTTTCCTGACAGGCCTCCATAATATGGATTAGGTAGGCAGCTGTACACAAAGAAGCTTGCAGTGATCGCAATAATGCAGCTACTTATCTGGAGGATAGCTAGTATACAGGCTGTCTGGGAATGACATAGAAAAATTTAAATATGAAATCGATACAGCCCATTTTCTAATGCATTTTACTGTGGAAGTGAATTGGACTACAAAATGGGTCCCTGGTGAAATACATTAACAGTCTGGGTTTATTTACTGTTATGTTTGGCTCTTGTGTGGGCCTTGTTAGTAAAATAACATTTCAGGCAAATGATTATTAATAGCCCGTGGCATTTTTAATAATGGTTCTGCGAACATTGTGTGCGTGTGTGTCTGTGTCTGTGTGTATATGTTATGTAACAGGTAAAAAAAGGTCCTAGAACATTATGCTGTACTTGAGGAAGAACATAATATTCTAAGAAAAAGCCCCATAACTGAGACTGTGTTTTTAAAAATATAAAAACACAGTAGGTCAAGGCTCTGATCTAAATCACTAACATTTTGACCTTGTTTAATTGTTCTTGTTATTGTCTATCACTTATTTTTTTTTATTAATTAATCATATCATATCATATTTTTTTTCAGATGCAACTCCATTGACATGAAGTATCAGGTCTGGAAACTAGGTGTAGTTTTCACTGACAATGTAAGTTGGATTGCATCTAATAGTTTATGACTTTTGCTCAGTTTGGTTATAAGCCAAAGAAAAGGTGTTACAGCCTGCAATTTATGTTAACTATTTGGTTAATGTTACCAGGCAGTGGTTGTAAAACGTATCCGATATTTTATGGCCTATTCCTCTTTTGTTAATCTGTCATTCTACCACGCTACGATTTGTTTTGATAAAATTGGGCGTACAGCAGAGGAGGAGATGTTAATATCCTTTTTATTCGACTTATCTAAAATACACATTTGTCTCTTTATCTGTCCTTGTAATCTATATTGGTTGTGTTTCTTATGTTTGGTTGTCCTCGTGTGTGCACTTACAGTCCTTCTTGTACTTGGCATGGTACATGACCATGTCATTTCTGGGACATTATAACAACTTCTTCTTTGCTGCCCACCTTTTGGATATCGCTATGGGTTTCAAGACACTTCGTACCATCCTCTCCTCTGTCACACATAATGGCAAACAGGTGTGTGTTTGTGCATTTGCATATCTGCGTGGATCTGTCTTTAATTCTCTCTCCATCAGTTTCCATGTGTGTTCATGGGTGCAGCTACAATGCATCCGATGTTTGCTTTCACCTTGTGAGGTTATATTGAGTTGTGTATTAAAGAAGAAGTAGTGTATTAAAGCCCGTCTGCCTCTGTCTGTCATTTTCTAATTATGTATGTGTGCTTGTCAGTTGATCCTTACCGTGGGCCTCTTGGCTGTTGTGGTGTACCTCTACACCGTTGTAGCCTTCAACTTCTTCAGAAAGTTCTACAACAAAAGTGATGACAAGGACATCCAAGACATGAAGTGCAATGACATGCTTACTGTGAGTTTAATGTGCATATTGACACACACTCTCCCTCCACATATATCTGCCTCTTATCACCGTTGCTATCTTTTTGTGCTTATCTTTATAATGCAAACACAGCCACCCACCTCCTTTTCTACCTGCACAGTGAGAGAGGTAGAGGAAGATTCTGACAGGGATCCCCATTGTTCAAATGAAAACAGCCTCATGTCTTATTCCATCAAGTTTTTTTTTTCTATAAAATGATGGACACTTTGAGAGAAAACAGCCCCCGAAGCCTCAGCACAGCCCTTTGTTTGGCCACTCAAAATATTAACACCCCACTGCCTGCTCTATTCTAATATGGACTCCACTGTCACTCACATATGCAGGCGGATGGGAAGTAAAAGCATTTGAATGAAGCCCTGTTAATATAGGAGGTGAGGGATATTACGGTAAACCCTCAGTCTCACTCACCATGCTGTTGTATCAATCGCTCTACAGTCATTGCCGTACCATTTTAAAGACGAGTACAATGAAAGCGTATGAATCCAAAGCAGAAGACTTGTATGGAAAAATCTTTGATATTTTGATTTTGTTCAAATTCCTTGTGGAAAATATTGTCCTTGGCAGTTAAAGCACAGTGTAGCCCTTGCTAGACAACTTGAATGTTAATCTGTCTTGCCTTATACTCCCCGAAGGGGAATACATGTCTGAGAAGATTGATGAGAAACAAAACTTGCACTATTGTTTAAAAATGTAGAAGTAATGGCAGTTTAATATTTTTTCTCCCCAATAGCAACAAACATGAATAGAGGGATGAAAATGCAGAGAATAAATTCTTTATTGAGCTTCAATATTAACAAGTATTCTTCAATACTTCACACCACTAGCAAAGACAGCCCGTTAAAGGGAGGAATAAATTGAGGGAGAAGTGCTCTGATCCTCATACAGAATATTTATTTATTTATTCTAGTGTTACATGTTCCACATGTATGTGGGAGTGCGTGCAGGCGGTGGAATTGGCGATGAGATCGAGGATCCTGCTGGAGATGAGTTTGAGGTGGAACGGATTGTCTTTGATATTACGTTTTTCTTCTTTGTCATTGTCATCCTCCTGGCCATTATCCAGGGTAAGACACACACACGCACACAAACACACACACACACGGTGAATTTGTTTTGCAACTTAAAATTAACTGGAAATAAAGAATTTATCATGCATCAACATGTACTGAAAAAGCTCATGCTGTTGCTCTTAGGCTTGATAATTGATGCCTTTGGAGAGCTTCGTGACCAACAGGAACAGGTGAAAGAGGATATGGAGGTGAGATTTGACACTTTGTCTCACACATTCACAGTATATTTCTATTGGTGATAGCCCTGTTATTAAAAAAAAAACCCACTTGTTATTAATATATGCATTATATTGCAGTAAGCAACCACAATTTCTTTTGTTTGTTTCCATATTTTGAGCAAAATCAATTTCCAACAATACATAATCCAGCATTGTGAGATATAAATTTCCTATAAAAGCTTTATATTGTCCTTTGCACCATGTTTATGTAGCAGCAGCTTCTGTGGCTAAGTTTGATACCAGGATTTGGTACTATGAAGCGATTTCAACATGCCTAGAGTGTCTTTCTTTTACCTGGATTCACTTACCTTAACACCAGCAATCAGAATAAGTGGTCACACAAAGCTGGTTATTAACTCAGGTTTCCTCTCTTTGTGGCACTGGCAGCATCTCAAAAACATAGATGGATAAGTATTCTGGCAGCAGAGTTCCTGGTTTTTGGAAATGAGGATAAAGCAATAATATGGAAAAAATATCAAGAGGTTAAGCAAATAATACTGACGAAACATGACAGCTTCTGCACACAAAGCAGTGTGTGTGAGAGGAAAAGTGCTGCACAGTTGTTTAGTATTAGAAGTGCTGCATGAATGTGTGTATGCTTTTGGTGCTTTGGACAGGAAGACTGTAAAAGATCTAGTATATTAACAAAGTCTAGCCTATTTGAAGCCAGAAAGGAAAGTGGGAAAAATGCCAACTGTGTAAGTTGACAGACTTATCAGTTTAATAGCTCTACAATTAGGACAAGTAATCTAGTATTTAATAACGTTTTTGTTTTACTTTTTGTTCTTTCAGCTGCATCCTTTAAAGGTTAAAACATACACATCATGTTTTAAAGCATATAAAACAATATAGTTCTTTCAAAATGATTTACAGTTGAGAGGAAAAAAATCAAGGAAAAAGTTGTAGAAGGAATAATCTGTATTTATGAAACACAAAGGCTTCAGATGTTGTTGAAAAACTTTAGACCATCCTACTATCTGTGCATAGAAGTCTGAGAGATCAAGGATCCCTCAGGCCTCAAATCAGTTGTTTTCTGAAGACTCGATTGGTCAGTAGGTGGTGAAACAGCATTTCATAGTACAGAAAACTCTGGTTAATCCTGAAGTTACCTGGATAAGATGAAATCCTGTTTCATAGTACAGACTTCAGCTGTAACTTAAGTATGTGGGAGCAAACAAACTGCACACATACACACATACAATTACATAAAGGAAGTACATTCAGTTATGGGGCTTGTTTCACAGGAAACAAATGTACCATTAGCACTAATGAGAGGGTACCATTATCTCTTTCTCTTGAATGATTAGTGACTTGTCAGCACAGAAACTCTAGTCTGACAAAAACAAATTGTTGATTAAAAAATAATAAAGTATTCATAAAATATGCATTTGTTGTTTTCAGTCTTTCAGTCTTATTTCTCTCATGTTTGAATGCTCATGTGCTCATACATAGAAGCTAGAAGGAGTAGAAAAACAAATGGAAATGCACTGTTTGTTATTTAAAGAATAGTTATTTGTTAGGGTTATTTTGCTGAACCCAGTGAACCAGGGAGCCAGGCTAAAACCCTCACTGGTATATCTATAAGGCTTTAACAAACCATGAGAATCAGAACCTAAAAAAAGACATAAAGTTAGAAAGACAGTCTGACACTAGAAGGAAGCAAAAAAGCCCAAAGGTGCAGGAGAGGCAGCCAAGTAATCGAAAACTAGACCTTTGATTACCAGACTGAGGAAACAGGGTAGTACACTTAGTCTGACAAAACTGGTGAGCTACTGTCTGAAAAGAGTGTACTCATATAGTTGTTATTGTTATTAACATTTAAGTCAGCATCTGCCATTCCACATTCACAGAGAAAACAATAACAACATAAAATATAGTAAAGAGCTGTGGTTCAGCTGACTGCAAAACATTCAGAAGAAATTCAAGCAAAAATAAAATATTTTACAGATTGCTGAAGGCTGAATAGAGCAGATGCAAGCTGGGGCTGTGAAACTGTTAAAAATAGCGATACATTGTGTTAATTCGGTATAGGCTTGTGACAGTTTTTCCAACATCTTCGTCTAATGTGTTCTTGCTTTCTACTGTATATGTTATATTTGTCATTGTGTCACAAAATAAAAAACAGTGTCACAGATTTTACACCTGCTTTTCCAGATGTTGTATTATAGGGGCATTAAGCTCTGCTGCTCTCAGCAATGATAAATCAGGTTGAGCTCCATTCCACCATTATTTGCCATAAATAGAAATGACCTAAAATGCATTAAAGTCAAAACACACATTTCGTTATTGCTTCTTTTCAATCACTATCACAGCACAAACAGGTTCTTTGGTTTTCCCAAAGCATCTTTTTTTTTTTTTTTAAACACTTTGTCTTTGTGACATTGAAACCCCCAAACAAGCCAAAAATTGGTATGTGTCGATGATTGGGTCCCCTGACACAAATGAAACAATATAGTGTACGCATTTAAGTAACGAGAGGACTGCTATTATATATCAAGAAAGCCACTGGCTTAGCAGATGGCAGAACACAGAAGACCTTACTCATCAGGCCAGGACTCTGCTGTCTGTTTACACCTAAAGACTGGTGACCGCTTTTTCAGTTACAAGGATGTACACATCCTGGACAGGGAGGAACGCATGGTTTGAGTGGGGAGTCAAGGAGGGCATTTATGTGAAAACCCTAAGACTACATCTTCTAATGCTGTGATTGCGACCATTTCCCAACTCTTTGTGTGTTCAGCTGCTCATGGCTCATTTGAGTTTTAATCATTATACAACTGTCCTCTTTACAAGGCTGGGAAAGCTACGGTCAGATGATCAGAATCAACTTTCAGTATCCCCGAAGTGTTGCACAGTGGCTTGCAAAAGGAATATTAGGTTTCTCTTCTTACTTGTATTTTCCTTATGTGGGTGTCCTCTCAGTGCATTTGTTTAAGAAAAAAAAGGTGTCAGATTGTTGTGCTAGCAGGCTAAATACCACATTTGAATCACAGAGCACTAAAACAACGGGCTTCTGGTCTTTCTAATTTAGTCTGGGGAACATCATGTTTGTCCAAATCTGTTTCATGAACCATTGCATTTTACTTTCTCTTCCTGCAGACCAAATGTTTTATATGTGGAATGGGAAGTGAATACTTTGATACGGTTCCTCATGGCTTTGAGACTCACACGCTTCAGGAGCACAACCTGGCCAACTATCTGTGAGTTCATCAAAGCGCTGGTTTTATGCCTGGGTTTGATATCAACTCGACCTAATTTTAGAAATATTAAAACTAAGTTCTTATGCATTGGTCGTGTTTACATTTGTAAGTTTTATGCATGCTTTGTCACCACTGAACAGTTATAAAATGCAAACATTATAAATCTAATTAACACACTTGGCTGTGTATCTGTATGTCTCCATAAATCATTGCTATAAGTTCATCTCCTTTCTCAAGTTTAGCTCTCAGTATAAAACTTTGTTTACCACAGCTTGCAATTCAGATTCAAACCATTGTCTTTAAGTTCTATTTTTCACTTATACTCAATGGCCACTTTGTTAGGTATACCTGTTCAACTGCTTGTTAATGCAAATAACTAATCAGCCAATGACATTCCAGCAACTCAGTGAATTTGGGCACGCAGACATGGTCACAATGACTTGCTGAAGGTAAAACTGAGCATCGCAATGGAGAAAAAAGATGATTTTCAGTAAATTATTTTCTGGTTCAGCCGTTAGAGCCAGACAGGCTGGCCTGGGTTTCCCACACAACCACACAGATGGCATGATCAGAATTTGGCATTAACAGCATTAGATACGTATACATCCTACCTCATAACAATGTATCAGGCTGGTGATGGTGGTGTTGTAATGGTATGAGCAATATTTTCTTAGTATCATCTGAACATAATTTAAACATCCCAGCCTATTTGAGTTTTGTTGACCACAGCCATCCCTTTATAATCACAGTGTACATTTTCTGATGGCTGATTAGAGCAAGTTCATGCACCATGTCACACATTTCAAATAATCTCAGACAGGTTTCCTCACTGTAGCTCCACAGTCCCCATATCTCCATTAGAGTACCAATGAGATGTGGTGGAAGAGGAGATTTGAATTACTAATGTACAGCTGAAAAATCTGCAGCAACAGATTAGACCAACATTTCTGAGAATTGTTTCCAGCACCTTGTTAAACCCATGCCACGAAAAAGGCAAAAAGGGATTCAACCTGGTGCTAGCAAAATATATGTAATAAAGCGGTCTGTGAGTGTCTCTGTGCTTTGTTAATCATTTTATTGTGATATGTGTAATGACAGTCCAGTAAGAATCAAAACACCTCCTAACCTAAAAATACATGCATTTGACCAAACTCTGTATCCACCAAGAACACAGTTTATCTGTATATTATAAGACACCTATGTAAAGCTGTATGTATTACATTAAGAAAGCCATAGTCATTTACATACACAGACTGCTAATTGAAATGCTCAAGAGTACCACAATAAGTACAATAGGATGAAATGCTAATAGAAATAAGAAAATGTGTGTAATAGAAGGTATTAAAGGCAGAAAACAATAACCCCACTCAAGCTTATTAAGTTGTCATGGTTAGAAAATGATTATCATTTTGTCTTTTTCACTGCTTTTCAGCATAACATGAAGGAACCTTTTCTGCTAGAAGTAAAAATGGTTACTTTGAAGGTGTCATTGCATTGTACATTGTTGCCATGTCAATAATTGCCTGTGGCAAGCGCTTTTGAGACTGATTAGTATGGATCTAGCAGGATGTGTTTGCATCCCCTGATTGATGGACTCTTCTTTGCTCATGAATATGTATGTACAGTCGTGCCTCATTTGACATTTTTGGCTCACCTGATAAAGGTCTATAGGCTGTAGCATCATTACTCATAATTTAATAAACCAAAGGATCATTAGATTTCATTATTTCTTGCTTGTCAATCATCAAATAATTGCAAGTATTAAAGGTAATTTTAACCTGATTGTCAGGTTGACATTGCTGGTTATATTTCTGCATTTGAAATCCAATTTACATTCGTAATCATCATAATCCTTCTACTTGACTACTACATGAACAGTTTGTTAATTTAAGTTTTCACAGAACCAAATGAAATCATTGGTGGTTTGAAAGATTTGAAACTTGTTGCATAACTCCCCCTTCTGTGTCTTTGCAGATTTTTTCTGATGTACCTTATTAACAAGGATGAGACAGAACACACGGGGCAGGTATAATTGTCTTCTTTTTATAGCATGATCAAACCAAAGAACTAGATGTGCACTTTTAAATTTCCTAAACAATTACACTATTTTGACAAGATCAAATCCCAAAGTATAGCTTTCCAAAAATACTCCCTTTGTGTCTCAGTGACTTGTTATTTCACACATTTACCATGATAATGACAGAGCTGTGGTGTAACCTTTTCAACTAGGACAGAATATGCATTCACACTGTCTCTCAAAAGCCTTATCACTCCTGGCACGCATATTTTATAACAATATACATGTTAGATATTGCCATTATGAATACATCTCCACTTAAGCACAAAACATTGTGCAATTAGTGGCATGTTTTAAAAAGGCAAATCTTTACAGTTTCATGGCACGATTGCTCACAGTCAAAGAAAACTACATTGATTTAATCCACCTGAAACATTTTGAACTTGGGGCATGTCAAATCAAATGGGTTCTGGGACTTATTCCTAGATATACTGGGTATATTCTTTCAGCATATTGTTCTTCTCAGATATTGCTTGAAAGAGGAGCTGCTTGGTGGAAAAATATTTCTTTCTCGTAGGCTATGTCCTCTAAGAGCTGTCACTATTGATTAGAAATCCTGGCACATGCGCAGTCTTGAAGATTTTCTTTTACACCCTTGTTTTCCACACCGACCCCTTTAGCACTGTCTCTACCATGCACATGACTTTCAGCCTTGTTCTGATTTTCTTCATCTACTTGTCTGCTAAAGAATGCAAGTGGAAACTTCTTGCTCCCAATGGCCATTACAGTCACCTAGTCAAAAAAAGTGAAAGGTTTTAGACTTGTCTGCGCACATAACAAAATAAACACTCCAGGATGCCAGTAGTCTTGCATCCTAATGTGAGCTAGATTTTACCATAAAAGATGAACTTTCTTCTTGTTACCTATTCAGCCATTTTCCTGAGTGTGCACATGAACTTAGCCACCATGAAATCAAAGCTTTCCCCAGCCAGGGTGAAAGTACTTAAAATGGAGAAACTAGTAGTCATCCTGGTGGCCCCAGAATGTGAAAACATGGTTCTTAATCATGATGCAGCTGCTGGTAGAGGAGCTGTGGCAGCTTTGGCATAAAGATGAAGTGTTGCAGCTGGACCATACAATCCTCCATTCCCCAGTGATAACCAAGGGTTATGCATGGCCCCTGAACGGGAATGCCTGGTCCCCCAATCCCCTTGTGGTATGTACTATTTAAGGAGCAGAAGCTCCTACAGCCTGTTGTACAGTTGAACAGGCTACATTTCAGTCCCAGTACATGGAAAACTCCCTAATAACCTTACCTCGTGCCCTCTCTCTCATTGAGTCACAAAGGCTTCAAAGAGAGGGTTTTTTTTCCACATCCTTTGTTTTAGGGCTTTTAGATATGAGTCATGTGACTCAAACCTGTCACGTTTCCATGGATTACTGACATGCACATGATTGAGGCAGTAAGTGAGGAAATGAATCTTTATTTGACAGCAATCTATAGGCTTATCTGATAAGTTAACAAAGTGTTTATGTTTTATTTTTTAGTTTAATCAATTCAATTACATAATATGTCTTCAGGACCATCTATATCCATCTAGTCATTAAAAACCCAGGTGTTAAATGATCTAGTAAAACTCCCATTGGAGCTGATAGCTGAAATGTCTCTTAAGGTAATTTTTCTTAAGATAGCACTCCTCCTCCCCTGACTTCTGCACACAAAAAAAATGTGTTCCTCAATTTCACCATCTTGCGCTACTAACAAGGAAGATGGGAGTGTGCCTACTTTACATCCATGGGCACAAAAGCAGAAGAAAATCTCGAGGAATTCCCCCAAGTAAGGTGATAAACCCAACAGTGACAGCTCTTACTGTACATGGCTGTCTGTACTCATAGATGGAGCATGTATCTGTTTCTCTGGCATGGTACAAGCAAACATAAAAGAAATGGAGCCTGCTAACTTCATTTTATTTTTCCAATTAGCTCACTGTCAAAGAATGTATTCATTATGAAATTAATGACTTTTTGATAAATTGCTACTCTGTTGACCTTGCCAGGAATCTTATGTGTGGAAAATGTACCAGGAGCGTTGCTGGGAATTCTTTCCTGTGGGAGACTGTTTCCGTAAGCAATATGAGGATCAACTGGTATGAAATAACCTGAGAGGTCTAAAGCCTCCCTAGTGTCACAAGACAAAATCTGTCTCGATTTATGCCTTTGGAGTTGCTAATTTGCCTTCAGTTCTCTGTGTGTTTCTATAGTATTAATTTTAGATTTTGGCATTTTCTTTCTCTCACAATCAAGTATTTCATTTATTTTACTAAATTAATTGGAACCAAAAGATTGAGAACCACTTGTTTATGTTCTCATACATTAGTGTGTGATGCATGTATTAGCAGTCCTGTGGGAGGAAGCTATTCATTTGAGTGGTTTGTTAAGACTGCAGCAGCATCTGTAGTAATGTGGCTTTTTCTGTTTCATAAATCATTATCTGTCACAGTCAAAGCTGGCAATCGAAATTCAGTTTGAGGCATTTTTTTTCTTGCTGGATGTGTGTCATGTTTTCTAAATAAATTGATTTGTTTTTCTAATCAGAGGCTCCCATTCCTTCCTCCTGTGACATCCATATAAACACTCTCCCTCTGGCATTTGCTCTTTTTACTCTCCTCTGTTTCTTGTGGCTCTCTTGTCTTGTCTGTTGTGCTCATCTCTCCAGGATCCTTACCCTTCGCTCTTTGCTGTTCCCCCCTCCCGCGTTCCTTCTGTTCCCCTGCAATTCCTCGTATCGAGCTCTTTCCCACCATCATTGTCAGCTGTGGTGTAGCACGCTAGCAGATCTCTCGCCATTCAGGTCAAAACAATATTTCTGATACCCGTCTCTGATGGCCAAAAAGTCCTGAGGGAGTTCGTGGGTATAACTCAATGACTAAGAGTGTGCTGAGTTTTGTTAAACTGTTAAATCATGCTGAGGTTAACAACAGGATGACAGGAGTTGGAGTGCCACCTACAGATATTGTCCTCATTATGCAAAGGTCACACTGAGTCGAACAGATGTACTGCTGCTATGGATTCTGGCTGTTTTTGAGTCATGACCATGGCACAGTATTGTTAAAATATTGTGAAAAAGGTGGGAAACTTGTGCTGTTTGTGTCAAAAAATAGTAGCAAGTACTCAATATTTATTTATTTATAATTTAATTCATTAATTAGTTTTAATTTGTTAAAAAAAAAACAACAGTTGCAAATGGTTTCTTTTCTAAACACATATACATTTTTCTGTCTCGAAGCACTTTTAACCTAACATTTACACACTCAGGCCCCAATGCGTTGAGGACAACTTAAGGTTCAGTAGCTTGCTCAATGATACTTCAACATGTAACTTGGAAGAGCCAGGGATTAAAGAAAAGGGATAAATGTGAGAGGAAAAAGGAAAGTTCAACATGCAACAACTGTGACAGAATTTCCATGTAACTGTAGATGTATATAAATGACTCAAGTGTGAGTTGTAGTCTGGCCATTCTTAGTTTTATGGGTCCTTTTCACAGCACAACCTTTATGTGCACAACGCAAATATCCCAGTGCTCGCCAATTCTGTGTCATACTATATTTTCATGCTTTTTTTTTATAGCCATGGTTACTGCTGACCATGCAGTTGTAATATTCTGGATATGATTGACTTCTCAATAAATTGCAAATGTCATTGGTTTGTACAGAGCACCCAACCGATGGTACCAGAACTTGTCACTTTCTTTCTGTACCTCACAAATTACAGTAATCAGTGAATTGTGATGGATTGGGAGCTGCTATGTCTGTTATTGTTCTGGTGATTACTTTGTAACAGATTCTATGGACCGCCATTCAACATCAAACCACGACTGGCTGTGACTGGCGATATAACATTGATATATTAAACAATGCTTACTGCTTACAAGAGTCTGTTTAAATCTGTAATTTGGTGCATCTCGATGGCGTGTTGTAATGTTTGACAAATATATGATAGAAGCAGAAGATCTGATTTTGAAGAAGAGTGAACTGTACAGGGTAAGAATTCTAATCTTGAATTTTTCAAGCAGCTGATAACGTGTTGGTATTTTAAACATAAAGAAAACGTTCTCGATTGCCAGCCCTGGAAAAAGGAAGCCCTAACACATCTGAATGTGACATGTTCATTAGCCAGGATTTCCAAAAGAACAAACCTGTTTGAATCCATGTTTGATTCAGACACATCCATGGTGTAAATGCTCATGGCATTGGCTAAGTCATCCCCGTCAAGATATGTCTTCTAGCAGCACATGCGAACACCATACTGACATTTCAACAAGGTGAGGGGGGTCTTTAAGATCGTGTCACTTCTACACTACAGGAAGACTGAACTTATTTAATCTGTTGCCACATTAGCCAAAGACCAGAGGTCGAGGAATGTGGAAAAAACCTCTAATCAAAAGCTTATTTAATTTGGAAAGATACTGTCTTCTAGTGAGTATAAAAATCAATCATGCCGTCTAAACACCAAACCCACAGACATCCAACTCCTCTTTCACGCCACAGATTTGCAGGAGACATGAGGTCCAATTTCATAAGAAACCTTCCAACAGTTGATTTACTAGTACACCGTGTACTTGAAGGAGGGAGTCTGATACCATCAAAACAACGCAGATTAAACATACTGTTTATTGTATAATTGCCACATATGCCTGATTAAAAGATATCGTGGATAAGATTGATGTTTTTTTTGGAGCTGCCAAGCTTCCCCTTCTAGTCTTTAATCTTTCCATCCTGTGGTTGAGTAATGCCAGGTCTTTCAGGTCTGGATGCAGTTTAGGTTATGGAGCATAATTTAGAGTCTACATTGAATGAACAGTAGTATACTAATCCTGTGGCATGACATGACAAAACTCAGGTACTTAACTGAGAATGAACTTGAAACTAACTTGATAAAGTTGGGTTACCCATGCAGATACAAAACTGAATTATCATTTTTGTATGAAAATGGTAATACATGGTAATAACCAGATGAACACTAGCTGAATGTCATGTCGTGAAAAAATCCAGCAAAGACCTGATATAGAGATGCATCTGACCCTTCAGTTGATCAGAAATGGTCTCAGTGGAAGGGTGGCTGTTGAGATGCCTTTCTATAGGACGGGTAATGGGGACAAAAGACTAAGGTATGTCAAATTGTACAAGAACTAGACTGAAAATTAGATGCAATAGGTTTTATTCAGTGGTGAATCTAAATTTGAAATTTCTAGTTCAGATTGTTGTCAGAATTTCTGGATGAGGCAACCAATATCCAAAGACGAGCTGTGGATTTCCTTCAATTATTCCTGTAGACTACTTAAATAAATTACAGGAAAGCTTGCCTAAGTATGCTCAGGCTGTGTTAAACGGTGGATACCAAATATTGTCTTTTGAGTTGTTTTTGCCTCATATAATGTTTTTGCATTTTAATTGGCTCCATAAGTATTTGGACAGGGACAACTTTTTTCCCCCTCATATTGGTTCTGTACATTACCACAATGAATTTTAAATGAAAAAACAAACAAACCAAACAACCTTACAAATGCAAGCAATATCCAATTTAAATATTGATACCCCCAAATGAAAGGTGATGGTCTACACATTACTTCCATATCCATTCTATAACTATAATTGGAATATATTTCAGTAAACGGTAAAGAAAAAACTTTTGTCAGTGTCCAAATATATATGGACTTAACTATATGTTTGCACATGCCGCTGCACCTATTTCCCATTTTACTAGCAAGATATAAAGGAAATGAGGGGTAGCTTGAGACTTTTGCAAAGCATTGAATACCAGACAGTTACACACACTTTTTGAGATTCATGTCATGCACCAGGGAAAGACATTTCCTTTCCACAATAGTTTTTTTTTTTAATTTGAAAGTGCAAACTGAAATTTTTTGGTAACTTCATGAATTTCTGTCAGACCAAAATGTGCCAGCAGTAAAAGAGTTGTTACTTTTTTTTATTCAGAACATAACAGAGTTGAAGCAGCTTCTACCTGCAGAGGGGACAACTTGCTCAGTTATGTCTTTTCCTGCTAATATTACATTTGCATTTTTTTTAACATGTTGCTTGTAACTGTTTACATATGCTTGAGTATATACAGTAAGCTGAGCCTTAAGTGCATGAATTGTCTTCCTATGTTCAATCAACCTTTTGTTACATCTACATTTTTGCTGCATAATAAAAATTGAAAGCAGCTGTCGCTGGTGTCATACAGCACATAACAAAGCCAATGGGTCTGTCAGTGACATAGAAATAATATTAATATTAATCTGACCTCATGACATTTTTAGGAAGAATTTAGGGCATGAAATCAATGGTATGGATCTATTATTCATAGCCTTCAGGTTTGCATAATTCAAACACATTCTGGTTCAGTATGTACAGCCAACAGTAAGGAGTCTCCTGACCAGATGGTTTAAGGTTGGCATGCAACAAAAATGTATTCATAAAACATTGTAAAATGATATGATATGAATCTGAGGTACGAGGCTGGATTATTCTGAATGTTGCCTCAGATACTGGTTTGGGATGTGGTGCCTCTGCACCCAGATATATCATGGAGATGTAATCTGAGAGTTGTAAATCAATAAAAGATGACAAGAGAAAAGAAAGTGGGGGAGAGAATGGAGCTGTGAATTTACTCATACCTGAGGCCAAGAACCCTGAATTAAATATGAGATGCGACTCTTTTTTTGTGTGTGTGTTACTGCCTCTGATTTCATTTTTGGAGCTCTTATCCGCAACTGTTTCACACACAGCAATGTGTGTTGCAATTCTCTTTTTTATCGTAATACACGGCAGTCCTCTTATTTTTTTTATTTTTTTTACATGTTTATTTAGAGTCCTAAAACTCTAAATGTGTTTATGTAGAGTTTTAGGACCAAATCTGTTGTATTTGTTTAAATTGCATATTTTTGAGGTACAAACAGCCAGTTTCATCCTCTCAAATAATGTTCGATGTTTATCTGAGAGCTTTTTAGATAGACATAAGCTATTATCTATTTTTTTTATGCTGACATCACTAGACACTCTTCCATAGTGGCTTTCTTTGTTCAGTCCCTTTTTACTGCTAAGTTTGGAAATCACTTGATGCCTGGCTGCTGCTGTGCTGTGGATGAGGGCTTCTTAGGGAGAAGCAAGGGTTGAGTTTGGGCCATGCATAAACAATAATGGTTGTTTTTTTTGTTTTTCTTTTAGGGATAGAGACTTTAGATAAGCACAGCTCTTATAGACTAACCCGGTATTATCGGATATTTTCTTCTTTACAATTTTTCCCCATGCCAGTGCTGTCACACCAATTTGTGTCTTGTTATCACTAATATCTGCTATTCACAGAATCTTGACTCTATGAAATAACTTCAAATAAATATTTACAGCTATTTGAAGTCATCAAGACAACCTCTGAACTGAAAAGTGCTGCACCAGAACTCAGCCTAATGGCACATGTTGACTCACTCAGGTTTTTGTTAATTAAACCACCAGGTTGTGTAACTGTAGCCAAACAAACTTGTGCATATCCAAAAACGATCCAATGATATCTTTCAGATAAAATGGGGATTTTGAAACAACTTGTCTTTGTTAAAAACACGCACAGATGTTGCATTTGGATAGCTCTGTAAACTTGATTGTTATGAGGGAAGCCAACAATAGTGAGGATCTTACAAAACCTAACTTTTTCTGAAGTGGCGTTTCTGGCACATGTAATTGAATGCAGCCTCATAAATGCCTTAAGTAAAACCACTAAGCTACAGTACCAGTGGCTGCATTAAATTCAATTCTGATGGTGGCAGATTAAGTACCTGCTACAACAATTTTGTGCAAATTATTTGCCCTTCTGGTCATATGCAACTCCATTAGTGCGTTTTCAGGCTTTGGAGCATTATTAAAGTGCCATTTACTCACAGAATTAGTTCTTAAATTGACCAGAAAAATAACCTACAGCAGCATAATACACTACAAAGCATGCACCTCCCTTTTTGGACTTTTTTCTTTCTTTCCAGATTTCCATCCTTAAATATACTTCTTAAGGTAAAGATTAAAAAAATGTAGACCTTGCAAGGTTGTGAAACCAGAAATAACGAAGGAAATGAGATGATTGAAGATTATGTTCTCAGATGT